GAGCCACACCCATGCGGATTTCACTGCACTGTTCCTCGAAACCAAGGGTGAAGAGGAAAACACACGTCCACGGGTTGATCAATATTCCTGGCCCCAAAATGACCATGGGTTACTCTCCCATGTGGGAAAGATCAAATAGTTTTAGTGATTTTCCCAACCAATCGTCATCCCGTGTTCATCGGACCTTTTGATCAACCCCGACATGGGACAAATCTGTCCTTCATGACCTGCGCGATGCCATTCCAAATCTGGGCGCGAGCCGCGAGGCGACAACCACTTGGAGGGGTAGAACTGCTAGCTTAGGCCTTGTGCATGTTCCCAGAACAAGCAAGACAACCACGCTCTTACTTTGCTCACTGCCTGAGTGGATGACCAAACAACAATTATGCCTTTTTGTTCACCACTAAAAGGGTCTTCCCAAAAACTGACTAAAATCAAGGAACTCAGGGAGTGAGTTTTGGATAAGCACTCAACCCAATGGGGCTTAGTTATCACTCACTCCGTAGCTTGTGGCAAACACGACAGTTCTGCGGCTTTGGTGGTTGGGGACCACCTAAGAAGAAACCCAAGGTCACAACGAGGTCAACAATGAATAACCAATGGTTGTACCCCAAAAAACCATGGTCCCAGGTATTGTCAAGTTGCCAGCAGCTTGCACCTAGGAGACCTTGCTCACTCACTCGCACAGGGCCTTCCTTTCTGATTGCCGAGTTTGAAGAGCTGCTCTATTTCAAGGTATATAATCCATGGGTGGTTTCACCTTTGGTTTTCCCGCCAAAAGGCAGCAACAACAAGGGTGCCACACAATGCGCGGACCGGTGGCCCATTGGAAGTCTGAGCATGTGGACGCCACGGAGCCTGAACAGCTCCTGCGGGTGAAGAATCGGCAATACATGTCCTACCCCACCACACAACAAATTACAAAACACAAACCTCAAGCACAGGAGCAAACACACACACACACACACACACACACACACACACACGCAACAAATCAGAAGACCAAGGAGTTCCAAGGGAAGGCACTTTGCCACTTGGTTTTCAGCACAAAGGGCCAGCTTCTGCTGGCCCCCTGCAAGAAAAGAACCCACCCCCAGACCTAAACGAAACAACTTTCCTGGGCTGTCCGATTTCTGATCCCCGCTAAAGGCGACTATTTTTTAGTGGGTCAAATGGAAATCAAACCACTAAACACTAAAAGGCTAAAAAACTAAGGGGATGGATGGGAGCCAGCAAGATCCGTGATTTTTCTGTGCTGATTCACCTCTGATGAGGTCGACACGAATCCCCTAAACCTGACCCGCCGAAGGACTATCCCTATTCTGTTGCAACCTTTAGGGACTCCCACACTGCGGTCGAACGGGCGTTTAATCAGCAAAACAACACCCCGGCATATTGCCTTTCTCCTTCCCCCTCCCGTGTATGAACGGCACTTGGGGTCGATTTTGATGCCCACTTCTTCCTTGGCTGGAATTAGGACCGAATCAAAAAACCTTCTTTTTGTTGTTGCCTGGTTAGTTGGAAACAAAGGGGACCCCAAAATGAAAAGGGGGAGCTAATTCCGGGGAAGCTTCGGGGCCTCTGCTTGTCTTTTTTTAAGCTTCTCGCGCTGCCCAGAAAAACCCGGCCGCTCGCGTCATCGCGCCATGTCGCGGAGCCGGACTCGCCCGAACGAAGGCTTCGCCGAGCAGCGGCATTGTCCGAGGAGGAGACGTGGGTGTGGCCCGAGAGCGTGATCAACGCCTTTCTCCGCGCACAAAAAAACGGCGGGAGCGACCAAAACGAGGGCCAAGTGGCTTCCCGTGCCCCTGTTGTCCCTCGTCCAAATGGCTGACCCAACCAAAATCTGTAGGCTCCGGTCCAGATTTAGTGAACCAACATGGAACATACACTCCGTGTATTCATATCAGAAAAGGTAATCCTTCAAAGGGAGGGTGGGATATGCTCAAAAGCTACGGAGGGCGTTCCAACTTCAGATCTTATACCAAAAGAAGGTGCCCATGTTTTTCGAATCTGGAGGTCTGGGACCACGTCATAATATGAGGTGAAATCATTCAGCAAGGCAGGAGTCAGTAGCTGCGTTGGACTACGCATACCATGCGCATTGGGCGTTTGGCCCTCATTGGAAAACGAGACTCACCAGTTTGGGGGTGGCAAACCCAGATGCGGAATACTGCTTGCTGTTGTGAATTGAAAAAACACAGGCACGGGCAAACGCCCACCAGGTTTTACAACATGCGCCTTCTGGACGTCGCATGGTCGTTTGTTTTTTAGGGTACTTGTTCTTGTTTGTTTGGGGGTGGTGAAAGAAAACCAAACAAGTTGCAGACTGCCTCATGAAACACACCCACATCAACCAGTAGTGAGAGATGCAACCCTGCTGGTCGTCGGGCAACCTGCCGTCGGGCAAAGTCCAAGTTCTCTCCAAGGCAATGAGTGTCACCCCTTTGTAGTTGGGAACCCCCCGAAGAACTAAATACCATTCGGGGGGTTCCTCTGATAGTATAGTTCTCCAGCCCTCCAAAGAAATATCTCATTGGGTTACACCATGTTCCCCCCAATCAAAATTATCCAGGGGTTGATCGATCGGTGAACACTGCCCTCTGCCTGGCGTAAAAGCACCTTGGCCCTCACCCGGCGAATACACCGCAGCTGCCCGCCCACAACCAGTGCGGCCGTGGCGGTTCGCGGAAAACCGCGAAAAGCCGCGATGCTTAGCATGGCGCCTTTTCGTGAGTGTCTGGGTGAGGGGTGAGGGGTGGGGCAGCGCGGCAAGCGCTCTGCAGTTGATGCTGTAAATCTTCGTCTTTAGGTGGCGTCTTCAGCTGGGGGTGAATTTTCAGAAAGTGCTGGGTCTGTAGTGAGTTACCCTAACAGGTGATATATGGGGTTGATCAAAAGATCCTGTACATGGGATGACCATTGGGGAAACCACCAACATGATGATACTGCCCACTAAATGGGAAAAGTTATCCATGGTCTTTTGGGTGCCAGGAATTTTGATCAACCGCCATGTGGAGGTCCCCTGTCTCATGCGACGGGACAACAAATGTAGCGGCTTGAGTTGAACGAAGCGGGCCGCCGTAACGGGCTTGCGCCGCGTTCTTCTGTTTGCCTAGTCTTCAGGGCCACCAACCCCTTGCACCTCATCCTTCCCGTACTAGGTCCTCCAGATTTGAGAGGTTGGAATAAGGGTACCCGTTTTTTTTTTGCTGTAGTCTATTTTAGTAGGGGAACCCTCCAACAAAAAAGGGTAAAAGGGCACTACCGGGGGACCTAGTGTATGGAACATGAACAACTCTCTCTCTCTCTCTCTCTCTCTCTCTCTCTCTTTGAGCTCGCCCGATTGCGAAGATCTAAACGCAAAGTTTGCGGCGTGCGTCTTGCCTGTCTTCTACACTTCCCCGTGCGTTGCTACCAGAACACCAGCAGATTTCCACGGTGAGGTTTGGCCTGAGGCTGTCCGTGCATAACCTGCTGGAGGATTTGTCGGGAATGCGTTGCCCCCGTTTTGACATTTCTCTCCTGACCCTGGAACAAACATCTCGGGAAGGGCAACAAAAGTTTGGTGCAAACAATGTTCAGAAGAAAAAAAAAAAAAAAAAGAGAAAAAGAACGCCCCCCCGGCCCCCAGGTGTTGTTTTAATATCATTATTTTTCTGGGGCTGAGCTCCTCAGAGCCTATATGGCAGTTCTATATGACGCTGGCCTCCAGCTTGGCGGTTCAAAGGGCCAATCCGCTTCAAATGAGCTGGAGCCGGCGGCGGCTGCGGCTGCACTGAACATCCGGAGTGTATGTGTCAAAGAGCTCGGTTTCAGGGCACTGGCGCAAAAAGAAGAAAAAAATCCCCGTGCAAGAGGCGCATGACTTGGGCGTGCCCTTCGTTTGTCCGGGCTTCGAGGCCTGGAATCCGAGGTCTCGGGGGTCGACTCTTGTCCTCTCGGTATGGCGTGGCGAGCAGGACAGGGTACCCCTTTGGGTTTGGTGCGAACACCCAAGGGAAGCCACTCGTTTTGGGGGGCGAATTTATTGGGGTCTGCCAGTCTTGCTGCCTCAGAGCACAAGACCGAGGTACATGTAAAAGCTGAGTTTCATTGCACCCCGAGAACAAAAAACCCTAATTCCTGGTAACGCACCCAAGAATCCACATGAAATGACACAAGCTCAGACATCCCTTGTCCAGAGGGCTTTTCATTTCTCGTCGTACCAGGTTGACCATTTTTACTTGAAAATCCCGACCCAATCGCCTCTGGGAACTGGCAGCAAAACAAACAGACCGAGACTTCAAGTGGTTTTCTCAATATTCAGCCAATCCATGACTCACGGGGGTTCGGCCGCAAGCCGGGTCTCTGTATTTTACCCCCCGCATGCGGGTGGGTCTGCCTCAAAATGGGCAACCAACTCCCAAAAATGGGGGGGGGGGGGGCTTTCTTTACAACAAACACATGAGCCATGGTCAAAACTGTTGTCTATGGCCTATGGTCATGGTTCCCTTACTCGGAATCGGATCCCCAGGTGGATGAGAGCCCATCCCTGAGCAATTGCAACGGATCCGACCAGTCTCAATAGACCGTGGCACACACTTGGCGTGCTTCCATTTGCTTAAGCCCCCCCTGGGAAAAATAAAAATAAAAAAATAAAAATATGTCCAGTAGTCATAGGTTCCCTTTAAAACCAACAGGGGAAAACAAAACATATTCCTTCCAGCAAATTCCGGTGGTTGATTTTCCCCATTCTTTTTTCAACCCATCGCTCTTTTCAAAAACCGATCGCCGTTTCCCCAGAGGGATTTTGGTGGCTGTCTAGAAAGATCCGGATCCCTGGGTTCAGAATGGACATGGAGGCTACCCCTAGGACAAAAACGCATATGTTGAGTTCACATTCTCCCCGAAGCGAAGATTGGACATGGGGAAGGGGCAAAACCCTGGCGGTGTCCTGCCTTAGACCAAATGGAAGCATGGACCGAGCGAGCTTAATGCGAAAGAAACTGGGCCCCCGCGGGCTGATGTCCAAGGTCTCGCGGAAGAGACGCTCCACCTGGCCGGAGAAGACGCGAAAAAAGGCGCGCTGACATCTTTGGAGAGGTGTACTGGTTTGGGGTGTGGGGGGTCATCTAGGTGTTGGGCTGGTGCATATACATATTATATAGATGTACATATATATATGTAAATAGACCTATATACATATATTTATATATATATGTATACATATGGTTTAGGGCAGTTTATCGTTCCCCTTCCCCCATTTGGCTTAACCAGGGCTTCCCCAAAGCATTCAGATAGCTTTCCCCAAGACACCCCAGCAGTCATAACCTGCCAGCTTCCATTCGATTGTCTGGATGCTCAAAAAATGTGAGGCTTTGGGATTTGACAGGTTCCTTTCCACCCGCAAAAGGTTGGGTCCCGAGGTGGTTTGCAGGGAAGAACCCCAGAGTCCTTCCATTTGCCGTTTTGTGTCCTGGAAAAATGAAAATCATGTCCACTGATAGGTTCCCTTTAAAATCATGAACTTTCATTTCAGCAAATGAAAGTATTGACATTCAGAAACCCTCAAGATCATGAGAGCTTTGGGTTTTCCGGATAGGGGATGGGTGCAACCTGGTGGTCGCTTAAACTCCACGTGTCTCCCCTGCCCGAATGTGCAACCATAGGTGGGCTTCAGGAAAACTACATGGCCCTGGTAAATGGAACAAGACCAGTGGAAGCCATCTATTTCTATCCAAACTAACCTAAAAAGGACACCTGTGCCTACGCCCACAACTCCCCTGCCTTGCGGATGTGAACCACTTAAAGTGGACTCCCTTCCAGTTTGACCAACAACCAGTTCACTTCTCCTGTGCCGTACTCCAAGCAGTCCATGGAACGAGGGAAAACCAGCTGCCCTTTCCATTGTTCTTTCGGGGATTCCAGCCTGAAGACACACATTCAACAGGAAGCCAACGTGAGCCGCGCCCGAACCCATTGGCTTTGGATACTAAGATGGCTTTGTGTATGTATATATGGCTGTGGGTCAAAATTATTGCAACCAGGGGACCGCCATTTTAGTTCATGTTTCCATTTACCAGGTTGAAATTTGGGTACCATTTTTGACCCCCAGCCATATGCGCTTTACTACAGCCCCAATTCAACCAGGAAGTAGAACCACCTCCAAAAACGCAAATTTGGGTTTTGGGCGCTGCTCACATAATGTCGTTGCCATTGGAAGAGGCGCCAATTTGGACCCTTTCCCACCGAAATCATCAGTTGCTGTTTTGTTTCTCCTGTTTTTCCCCGTGCACTTTACCCCAAAAACCAGCAACAGTGACTGAAGAAAGCGATCGCAACTTGGCTATCTAGGCAGGTAGCTTGACTTCGGCGAAGGATCATCTGGGGGGGTTCTCTTGACCAGACTGATGCCAAGTGGCGCGTCCTCTTTAGGTTACTTTGGTTAAAAATCAATGGGTCCCACTGGATTAGAAGGGTTTTGCTCCATTTACCAGGCCCATCTATGTTTCCAAAAGGCCACCTATGGCACCACACAGCTAAAGACTTGGACAAACAGGAAGCAAGTTGCCCATTTCTTGCTGGTGGACTTTTCTGGAAGACTCTTCCCAGAACAAAAAAGATGGCGACCCGGCGGCTTCCATTTGGACATGATCGCAGGCGGCTATGTAAAAACGGGCCATTTCGGGCTTTTGGTGGCCTTCGGGGGAAAACAACAGCACATGGCTCGTCTTTGGGAGTTGGACCTCCCAAAATGGCAAAACGGCGTTCAACCTGCGTATTCCCTCCAAAACCTCACAAGGGGTACCAAGTCCAACAAACGAGCCCATAGTGTCTCAAAATTTCGAGGTTCGCTTCCTTTTGGTTGCCCTTTAAACCCACTGCACAAAAACATCCTTGATTTTTGGGTAACCGGTTCCCCCAAAACCTCAAAGGTGTCTCTCACGCTGTTGCCAATGGAAGTGCACGTGTGTCTTAGCTTGTACCTATTTTTTTTCCCCCGCGGACAGCTTTTGGGGTCTCCCAGACAAACTCTGGGGTGCTTTGGGGAGGCTGGGAGGGTTCCGGATCCCGAACGGCTTCCGAATGGCCAAGAGGTCTTAGGGAAAAGTGAAAAAACTCGGCGTCGCTTACTTCCCTCGACCCAATGCTTGCTTCTGCGCCCTCCGAAGAACTCTTCCCGAAGGGACTCTGCGTTTGGAATCTCTAAAATTTGGGATCTGCCACCAATTTTCGCCTGACCCAAATCTGTCACCTATTTTGCTCTGGTCCAGATTTCGTGAACCAACAAATTGAACATCATATCAGAAAAGGTCCCCAAGCAAAAGCAATCCTTCAAAGGGTTGGGCCATGCTCAAAAGCTACTCCGAATTCACCAGTTGGTAGGTGGCTCTTATCGCCATCCGCAGCATCAAAACCTGGCGAAACGCCAAGGAAGCTGCGTTTGGTTGCCTTGAAACATCAGCCAAAAGCTGGGTGTCTCCCTTTTGGTTTTCTCCTGTTGGTGTCCTTTCAAAAAGCCACACAAAAAAGAGAACCAACTCCAACAAAAGGAAAAGACGAGGCGCCCTTTTGGAGAAGTCTCCCACCTGGGCTGCCCGAACTGATCCCCTGCCAAAAGTGACTAACTCGTGGGTGAAATTCGGACCCAACCACGTTTCACCAACTCACAAACCACTAGAAACCACTAAAACAAATGTTGAACCCTAAATTTCACTAAAAGCCCAACTTGAACCCCACTCAACACCCAAGTTGAACCCTAAAATGTCACTAGAGACCCAAGTTGAGTCTCACAACACCTAAGTTGAACCCTAAAATGTCACTAAAGACCCAAGTTGAACCTCACAACACCTAAGTTGAACCCTAAAATGTCACTAAAAACTCAAGTTGAACCCCAACAACCCCAGTTTTCCCCCGGATGCCCGTTTTTCGCCACCTATTTCAGCTTGACACATCCGATCCGTACGAAGGTTCCGATCCGCACCTCTGCGAGCTGCTCCTGCCACCGCTTCTCCTAGCGAGAGCGCATCGGACGGATCCGTGGTCGTGGCAACCACCCCCCCCCCCCCGCGCCGGTCGGAGACTCGATTACGGGGATTTTGGGTGTCGGGGCGGCCGACGATGTGGGCCAAATCTGGAATCGACTAATATGAGAGAATTATGGATTTTTAATAAACTCAAGAGGCACAGTCAACGAAAACGGCTTGGGTTTTGTTGACTGAATGCCCAATAACCTCCAGGCCCTAGAAAGCATTTTGCCGGCCGGTACCATTTGGTCAATGCACGTGGGAGAGGGTGAGAGCAGGGTGAGAACAACCGGCAAACCTAGCGCCCAGCAAACTAAGCCTGGGACCCATGAAAATGTTGATTTCATGTTGCCGGCCCTTCAAACTGGGAAGAAAATGGACCGGGTCCCACGTTTGACACATTCCAACACCATGAAACGCCAACAGGTCCAACTGACTTTGACACATTCCCGCCGGTCACGGCGTGACGTAAGCCTCCAAGTGGTTCAGCCAGCTAATTGTTATTCCGGTCCCGAACCATGACGTAAGCCACAAAGACTCCGATCAACGCATGTTGACACCTTCCCAAACCGCGATGTCAGTAGCCCAGAGACTCTTCACCAGTCGTCAGGCCGCACGTTGCTTTGCCCCCAGGCCTGCTGAGCTTTGCTCTGAAAGGTGGCACTGTGTCCGTCCAATCCAATGTTGTAGGGGTGCTCACAAGAGATTTCCAGAATCGGGGAAGGAACAACTCAGGCAAAGAACACAGGCAAAAATTGTCTTCGTCATGTTCCCGCAGGGAAAAACAAGGCAAACTACATATCGCAATTTCCCACCCCGTCCCCGGCAAAACGCAAACAAACCTGGCAAAACATCTTGGTATCTCCCCACTCGCCCACCCCCGATTCGGGGATTCCACAGGTGACCTTTAGGAAAAATCGATGGGTTTCCCTGGCACACATCGAAATTAGTGGAACCCATGTATTTCTCTTCTCAAACTAATCGATCACAGCGACACCTACGCCCACAGCTCCCCTTGCAAATGTGAAACGTGAAGTGGAGTCCCTTCCCAGTTCTTCCATTTGCCTAGGGCGCCTGGAAAATAAAAATGTTTCCAGTAGTCATAGATTCCCTTTAAAACCAACGGGGGAAAAGATAAAACACATACATTCCTGAGCAAATGGAAGTTACGAAGATCTAGAGGGAATCTGCTTTCTTGCAGCCAAGAAAAACAAAGAAAACCAAAAAAACAACAACTGGAAGAGTTCCGCCCACGCAACTCGACCTCCAACCGGCCTGGTCTTCCAGCCAGATCTCCAGCTGCGCCTGGCGCCGGACGGGATTCGGATCGTCAGAGACGGAAGTGGCTAATGTGAGAGTGACTGAGAAGGCCAGATTGGTGCAGAAAGAAAACGAGAGAAAATTGGAGAAAACCCAAGAAAACCCAAGAAGAGCGAGTTTGTCGGGCATGGGGCATGGTCCCATTCCAAGCCTGCGGAGGTTGATGTTTGCTTTTTGGGCACGCTGTGAGTGACTGTGCGTTCCTTCAGAGCAGCCAGAGGCGGAGTCGCCAGCGATCGAGGTCGTCCGGTACCTTTGGGCCATAGCCTCTCGGCCTGTTGCCCTTTGCCACGGAACTTTCGCCGGACAGAATAAGAAGTGAGCTGAGTCTGACTATGTGCTCACGTCGAGATATGGTTGATCTTGACCATCTTGGCATACCCTTGAAAATTGCAAGGTAGCTTCTTCTCGAGGTGGAGCCGGCACGGCAGATGGATGCCTCAATGTACAAATGATCCGAATTGGCATCCCAAGAAAAGCTGAGTTGTTTATGAGGGGATGTTGTTCTTCATGTTTCTTTTCTTCAGGTGTGTGCTATTTCGTTTGTTGTGCTTGCTTGCTTGCTTGCTTGCTTGCTTGCTTGCTTGCTTGCTTGCTTGCTTGCTTGCTTGCTTGCTTGCTTGCTTGCTTGCTTGCTTGCTTGCTTGCTTGCTTGCTTGCTTGCTTGCGTGCGTGCGTGCGTGCGTGCGTGCGTGCGTGCGTGCGTGCGTGCGTGCGTGCGTGCGTGCGTGCGTGCGTGCGTGCTTGCTTTCTTGCTTGTTTGTTGTCTTGCTTGCCTGCTTGCTTTCTTGCTTGCTTGTTTGCTTGCTTGTTTGTTTGCCTGCCTTGCTTGATTGCTTTCTTGCTTTCCTGCTTTCTTGCTTGCTTGTTTGTTGCTTGTTTGCCTGCTTGCGTTGTTGCTTGCTTGCTTGCTTGTTTGATTGATTGTTTGTTGGTTTGTTCGATTGTTTGTTTGTGTGTGCTGTTTTGCTGTGCGTATGCCGGAATGCGTCAACATAACTAGGAGAAACCTCCAAAAAGGAGGCTTTCCTTTGGCTTCCCTTTCAAGGCATAAATCAGCCAACAAGAGACAAGCTGCTCCTCAAAAAAACAAAAAAACGCACACAGACACGCCTACGCCAGCCTCCGCGCGCCCGCCCTCAATGAAGCTCAGCCCTGCCCTAAGCCCGCGGCCTGCTGGTTGCGCAAGGCATCTGCCACCCTGGCGACAGCGTCCGATGAGAGTCCGATTTTCAGCCTACGGAAAAATGGAGTTCCCTTAACTGGGCTGTCCTCAGATCCCCCGCTAAAAGTTTAAATTGTAGTGGGTGAAATGGAAATCCCCACTAAACACTAACAGGCTAAAATCCTAAGAGAATGGGAGCCGCCAAGTTAAGTGACTGGTTATTTGTTTCTGGGGTAACCAAAATGACCATTCCCATTGACCTTTTGAGGGACATGACCCTAGGTTCAAGTCCTTGCGGGTTTGAGGAACATAGCACCCGGCAAAACGTTCCTTTGAGGGAATCGATCTTCCAGGTGTCGCACAAGTGACATGTTGGGAGGGCAAGGCTAACTTCCGGCTTCCCTTTGAACATCCACCTTTGCAAGTGTTGACCCCCTTGGTTGAGGAAACACCCATAGTTGGTGTTTCCAAGACTAGGGTGGAAGCCAACAATGCCAACTTTGCACCGAACCCAGCGTACTCAGAAGGGTGCCACGGCAATTTTCCCGCCGAATTCCTCTCACGAAGTTCAAGTGGTGTATTCAAAGTGAACATTTTGAGTCTATTGCCCAGTCCTCTCGCATCCGCAGCAGGAGCCCTTACAATCACCTCTTGTTCTTGAAACCTCAAATGACAGGTTGTTTGCCGAACTCGGACGAACTCGGAGTCGGGTCGCCAGTTGCCAACTCCTCAATTTGACGTGGAACAATTTGAACATTTTAGACTTCGAAAGGCATTCCACATCTTTCTGTTTGCAAAGGCATGGTTGCTTCCCGGTAAATTTTCATATTCCTCTCAGGGCCTTGTTCCAACATTGATTTGGAAGACTCCCTTCTGTGACCGGGATTTGCCGCCAAGCTAGGACCCGCTAGCTTGGCTCGAGGTCGTGCGTTTATCCATGCCCGTTTTTGCCTAATGAACCAAAGCAAACAACATTGAGATTGGTTTGCAGTCAAGCAACTGGAGGTCCCAGAACTAGATGACTTCTGGAAGCAAATTCTGGGTTGCCAACTCACGTCACTGCCAAATTGACCGTAGACTCAACAAACACCTTGGCCGAACCTCATATTCCAAAAGCCCAACGCTCGTTGCATCTCGCATTCGGTTTCGTTTTTGCGTTTGGACGCAAATGAGGTCGAACCATATTCGCTGGTGGTTGAAGCCAAGCAACACATGCATGGTTGCAAGCAACCCGAAGCTGGAGGCACAAGTTGAAGAGTTGTCTCTTGCTTAGGCGCCTAGTCGTCGTATGTGTGTCGCTTCGGCTTAAAAGCTTCGGCTTTCCCTTCAAGCTTTTGGCTGATCGGACAAGGCACTCGGGCTCGCTCTGGCTCAGCCGAGGGCCGCTCTCGATGGAGACAACCTAAGACTTGGGGGGGCCAAATAGGTGTCCAATGTTACGTCAAGACACGTTAATATATTAGCACGAAACCATTTGTTGGCATTTACGGGGGAATCGTCTTTAAAAAAAAAAACCTTAGCTGGCGCGAAACGGATTTCGTCCATCCACAGTATGTTCCTATTTAAGTGCTTTGGGGTGGCAAGGGGGGCATCGAACAAATTGTGGCTTTCAACTTGCCAACCCCAAGAAACATCGGAGAGTCCCTGAAAGCAACACGACTTGGGTGTGTTTGTTTTGGGGGTACGGCTTTTCGGTGAAGCGTATAGGAATATCAAAAGTGAAATACTCGCCGTCCAACGGCAGACTAAAAGGGGCGCCGGCACGAGGGGCTAGGGCTTTAGACCATTCCTTTTCTACTCAAAGCCATGATCCCACCCGGCTGTCGGGCGATCAGTTTGTTTACATGCATGCAACCTTAGGTGGCATGGTATCCCATTTATCGCATCCTCCAAAATCCTCGACTCAAGTGCATCAGTACTGGCGTTATGCCATGGGCCATCTGTTGGCGTGCGCCAACTTCTCCTCCAGCTCCTTCTTCTTCAACTTCTTGCCAGCAGTAAACTTCGGATCGTCTCAAGCACCTCCATGTGTGGGGCGGCAGGCGCCATGGGAGTGACCACCGGGCAGCGAACTGCCATTTGTGCGAAGACAAGAGACAACGATTCATTGTAACACTTCATGGCTTTCAAGGTCCCTGGCGCCGCATAGTTTATCGTGGTCTGAATGCCAGTGGCCAGCGCGCACAAGCAGGCAGCCTCGTCACCAGGCGGCCCGCAGACATGGCAGCTGCTGCCAAAATCTGTTAGTCTCGCTGTAATAAGTCTGAGGCTGGGATGCTGTCAATTTGCAGGAGTGGTGTCTCTGTGGAGTATGCGCTTCGAGATGTGGTCCTCGGAGCAGGTCACCACCGAGTATCACTGCTAAAGGCAACCTTTTCAAGTCTTTAAGTATTACAGCTAAACCTATCTAAGCATTGCCCGTGCTGCAAAGGCGCGCTTCTCCAGCTTCAGAGTGTGTCTGAAGCGACGCACACCGATTTCGCGCTTCGCTGCCTCTGTGGCCTGACAAAGCTGCCCTGAAGAGTCTATTGCAACATGTACAGTGGCTGCTTGCTGGGTCCGCCACACAGTACATCTGACACTTGCAGACCTTTGCCAGGATCCAGAACATCCCCAGAAACAAGAAGCTTGCAACTGGAAGGCGCCATTCGGAAAGCTTGAGCAACTTCCACTGGCAGAGGCAGCGATTTTGTCTCAAGACTTCTTCAGCGCGCGCTTGTTTGCAGGGGGTCATGGTTTCCGCAGGACTTTCTTCCACATGATTGCATTGTCGAGCTATTCCAAGTTGCAGAACCCAGCAGCCAGAATATGTCGGCAGTTTTGGTGCGCCCAACCACGAAATGCTTGCTGAAAAATCGACTCAGATGTTTGAAGTCTGCGAGGAAGTACGCAAGAGAGCCCCCCAAAGAACAGAGGGTGATGATGCCTGCTGCTTCACGGGACCCAGAACGGCACGCGTGCTAACCTGCGAGAACAGAGTGGTCGCCTCTAGAAACACGAAGCATGCAATTCGAAGGCACGATTCACTGTGAGTTCAACTGGTTGCTTCTTTGGCATCATGGCGGCTCTGTCTGGAAGCAGTCCCGCTTGTCCGTACTGTCTGGCTGGTCCATGTCTTTTTGGCTTTTTTGTGTGCTTCTATGCTTTTTTGAGTGCTTGTCAGACATCTGACGTCGCGATGGCTTGCCCTACAACGTCCACAGCTGGAGGCCTCGAGCTTAGTCCGGACATCAGCTCCGCGACTCTGCCTGGCAAAATCTAAAGGCGGCCTCCCCTGCCGGCAGGCTTTCGGCGGCCACCTCGCGTTAAGCGGCTGCCTGACAGAAGGACTGCGGATCGCCGTCTCCAAGCGGTTCTGCTCCGCTACCATGAAATACTCGCCGTCCAACGGCAAACTAAAAGGGGGCGCCGGCACCAGGCGCTAGGGCGAAAGGCCTTTCCTTTTCTACTGAGGCTGTCGGGGGATCAGTTTGTTTGCATGCATGCAAGCAATTGAGTCGACATGGTGTCCCTTAGGAGGATGTTCGCAAGAAGGAAAATCTCCCATTTTTGGGGTGCGCCAAGGATCCAAGTAAGATCCTCAGTCAACCAAGCCAGCTTGTTGCTAGTCAATGATCAAAAAACAAAATCCTCTTCCTCTGGCGAAACATGGATCCAACATATTGGTTTGCTTCTCTCAAGTTTGGTGGCAAACCAAACCTGTGGACTTGTTTTAGCCACTCAAACCATGCCCTTTCCAACAAAAGTTCCGCAGCCCAAGAACTCAAACATGCTGTGAGATTGGGCGCTACTGTGGTTGGTCTAGATTCTCGGCTCACCTACCCCAAGGGGAGACCGTGAGACAACACTCGGCGTAGAAAATCCTTTTGGGGGGGGGGGAAATGCCGCGCCCTTTTGGCCCATTTTTTGGGTGGGGCGCCTCCAAAAGCGACGGAAAAAAAATAATCCGTAGGACTGCAGGGGACCCAAAGGGTTGAAATGTCCAGAGCGGGAGGAAAGGGATGCAGGATGCAAAAGAGCCATAGTCAAAACCTACAAAAATGATGAACCCAGAACCATGTAAGGAGTTGAAAAGGCGGCTGCAACTACTTCCGGCTGGGACTGCCCCCTTACTAACCTTCATCTACCCGGGTTTTGAGTGTGACTCAAAGGGTAAGTCAATCGCAATGTGGGAGTTTCTCAAAATGGGATTCGGACCCCTCTGTAGGGCATTTGAAGGGAATCAAAGGGAAACCAACACAAAATGAGGGACCCCCTATTCAAGAAACGCCTATGAGCCCAGTCAATAATCATGGTCAACTGACATTGGAGTTTGGCGAGCAGCCCCGACTGATGGCAATTATATGCCGTCTGGGTTCAGAAGGGTTTGGCGTTTCATTAGGGGCGTTTGCTGGGATGTTTGTCAACGGGGTAGGCTTGGGGTATGGTTCGGGGTATGGTTCGCCACTCTCACACATGTATCTGAGTGTGTTCAAGCTTGTCTAGGTCGTCCAGTAGAGAATTTAGAATAAGGGTACCCTTTTTTCCAGATCGGAGCGTGCTCACACACACACACAATCATAGGTGTCCTCTCAGGGGAAATAGATGGCCCTGGTAGATGATTAAACCACCAGGTAAACCAGGGCCATCTATTTTTCGCGCAAAACCACCAAAAAGGACACCCATGCACACAATTGCCACTCACTCAAGTGTTTTTCTTTTTTGGGGGGTATGGTTCGGTTGAAACACAATCTAAAAGTCAGGCCCAGATTCGGACACATCCTCGCACAAATGGGGGACTCAGATGCTGGCACTAACTCACATCAAAAGTCCGTATCGATTGATCAATCTACCCACATGCGTCATCTCAAAATGGGACGTCAGTCCGCTACGATCCGAGAGCTCTGATTTAAGGCCTTCCAACTCCTGCGTCTTGGCCCTATTGCTTGTCACTGGCTAGCGCCTTGCGGCTGTGGGTCAAAAGTGCGTTGCCCAAAATGGAACCCTTGTTTTATCGAAATAAGGACTTTAAACCTGCGGTGTGGTTTCATTTTGACCCATAGTCTTGCAGGTTTCCTTGACATTCTGCAAATCCCCCACTTTGACCCCGCAAATGGTCTGCCCAACATGTATTCAGTCCAGGAACTTGGGGAGTGACTTTCTTCCGCGCCGATCAAAACTTGTTGGCCATTGTCAACTTACTCCCGGCCAATCACAACTCGGTCCTCCAGATTTGAGAGGTTAGAATAAGGGTACCCGATTCTTTTCTTGAGTCTGTTTTAGTAGGGGACCCTCCCAACCAAAAAAGGGGTTGAAAAGGGCACCTAGCTGGGGGACCTAGTAAATCAATTCAGCCATGAGAGTCCTCGGCCCCCGGCCGTCAGCTTTCCCTTCTCCGCCATGCTACGCCCCTGACGTGTTGATGGCATAATCAGGCGCCGAGACATATCGTCGGGCTGCGTCGGTCTTGCTTTCGGAAGACATGGCACACATGGGCGGGGCAAATGGGCTTTTGTGGGGAATAAGTTGCTTCCCCTTCCGAAAATGGAGTCACAAAGCAACCTCTCCATGCTCAAAGTAGAGACCAACAAAAAACGCAGATGTGGGCAGGGTCCAAAGAAAACCCACAAAATATGGAAGGCGGATTCTGGTCTTTGTTTCCATTTTCCGGGCCAAGCCATTTTGGGGTTGCCCTAGTTTGGACAACCACACCCTGCTGTTGATTGTCCTACAAACTCGGGGTTGGGTGCCACAGCCATGCGCTGAGCCGATGAGTGTGGGTCTAGGGTTGAAGTTCGGGGTTGACCGTCTTGGCCGGAAAAGGAACGCGACAAACGAGGTGGGGAGACTCCCTTCAAACGTTCCGTTTGCTGGTTTCCCTTGAAATAACCGCCGGTTTTGGAGGCTCCAAAAAGTGAAATGGACAAAACCCTGAGGTAAGGCGACACTTGTCCTCAAAGAGAAGAATTTGGAGGGGGGAGTCTCTCCAGATTCCTTGAAAGCACCGAAGCAGCCCAAAAAAGCAGACATGGGTTATCTCAAAATGGGGGCAGGGGGCCAAAATGGTTGATTTCCCTTTAACCCAAACCAAAAGCGGGTTCCCAAAAAAACAACACACACCCGTGTCCAAATAGCAAGCAAATAGCAAGCAAACGGGGCGGCGGGGCCGCATTTTTGATGACGCATTCCGAATGTCGCTTCCGAGATCGAGCGCGCCCTTGTCTGCAGCGCTCAACCTCTGAGGGTTGGGGTCGCTGGGACAGCCAGCTCCACTGACAGAGGCCCCAGTGAGAAAAATCCCCCAAATTCCGCCGAAGGCTACGCATGGTTGCACTTCGGGCTCCTACGTGTTCTCGCCACAAAATCAAGCGCCTCGATTCCATCCGGAAGGAGGGAGAAAATGATCTGACATGTCAAATCTGTGTGGGGCCATTGTCATTTCAATGAATCTTTCGGCGAGGTCTCATTTCCCCCAACCCACCGGCACCTTTTGGATCGAGCGCTTGGAGATGCTTTCCCTCCGCAGACTTCGCAGACACGCGTCAGAAGTGGTGGGCATAGATCATGTTCTCGTAGGTCGGGTACGGATACAAGCCCGCCTCCATCACCTCGGCTTCCGGAAAAGCGGAAAAGAAGGGAACCCGATGGGAACCGGCTTCCGGGAGGTTCTTTACAAGGCCTGTGGTCCCCGGTCCCCTGCAAGTGAACATGGAAACCAAGCCAGGGGTCCAACCCCCAGGAGGTTCCTGACAACGGCTGGTTGGCGTTGGACAGTAGCGGGCAACCGGGGCTCGTGAGTTTTTGGGTGGACACCTGGGGCCTAGTTTGCAACCTTAGTGCATTAAGGAGGCATTGGTTGGACTCATGCTCCCCCCCTCCCCCGGGTGACACACGTACTCCAAAATCCAAACGTGCAGCTCCAAGTCGCTCCCTCCGCCTTATCCACGGCCGCGCGGAGTGCCACCATCAGCGGCTTCATGGTGTCGCACAAGTACCCCGCCTCCGCCGGCAGCCCGCTGTGCCTCAGCACCGTGAACTCAGAGTTGGTGCCCACGTGACCAGAATCAGCCACTGATCAATATCTAATGTTGATCCAGGAGTCATAACCCCCTGCTTGATTTTGCTTGGGGGGAACCCCCGCCGTGTCAAAAGCGAAATCCTTCGCCTTGGGGGCACACCTCTCTATTAGTTCCACGTATCATCAAGTCGTGTCGTGCTTCGTCTGCCCAACCACTTGCTCATGAGTCATGCCGGTTTAACACAAACACAAAAACACACAGCAAAGGAACGGCACGGCACACAGCACAGCGAAACACAACGCAATCAGTACCTCCAAGTACTTACAAAAGCAACCCGCAACTCACACACACACACACACACACACACACACACCCACGCACGCACGCACGCACGCGCGCGCGCGCGCGCCGCACGCCCGCCCGCCCGCACGCCCGCCCGCCCGCCCGCCCGCCCGCCCGCACGCACGCGCGCTCTCACGCACGCACGCACGCACGCACGTGTGCGCGCGCGTCAAATACAGGGCAGTCCAATCTCCACTTCTGCTGGGTCCATGCACATCTTCAAAACTACCCGCTTGAATGGTTTAAGTGAAACCGCGCAAGGAAATAGTTTTGGGAACCGGTCCCGCAAAACCTTCACCCCCCAAAAGCTATCCCGACAATACCAGTGGTAGTTGCCAGACCACAGCTGCCAAACCACCCAAACGATATGGTATTCTTGTATTCTTAACTCGGTTGCTTTCTGCTCCCCTGCTAAAAGTTTAACTTTTAGTTGTTCAATGGAAAGCCCATTAGTAGGCAAAAAGTTAAAGTCCTAACAGCCAAGCAAAATGCACCAAAGCTAAGAACCCCTGAACATGGTCACTGAAGGGACCCAGTCTTCCGGTGCAGATCAGAACCCCTCAAAATGGTCTACCATAAAAAAGTTGAGAAACCTCCCAAACCACACCCCCAAAACCACAAAATGAGAACACCTCAACCCCAAGTTGGGACAGGGCTCACTGGAGTTCAAAGCTGATCTCCGTTCCTGGAGTTCCATCTGGAAAAACTGGGAGGCCCCAGCCACTGCAAGATAAAATTAAAAAAAAAGCTCGGCCAGGCTCGAAGTATGGAGGTCCCCCCCCAAAAAGGGCGGGAAGAGCTGGATGTCCGCTTCAAAAGCTGCAAGTGAGCTTCGCGGTTTTTTCTCCTTGAAACCGCGAAACTTTTGGAGGTCCTCCGCTTCAAGGAGCCGCGGCACTGAAGTGGCTAAGCCGCGTAACCCGCGAATGGGCAGTCTCCGTTCAGTGGGTTGCAACCAGCCACTGCCAACCACTTAAGTACCCCGAGAGCCCCTTCATTTTTGTTCAAGCCCGGAGCTTTAAGCTGATTTAACACAAAGAAGCAGCAACACACACGTTTTTAGTTTAGGACCCCCCGAAAAAAAGCACCCGAGGCTTCGGGCAACCGTCTCTCCCTGGCCGGAATCGCCATCCGCCCGGGGGCCATCGATCCGAGCGATTCGGATCCGAGCAGCGGCCGCTTCTCATAGGCGGCCTTCAGCTTCTCGAGCTGCTCGACGATGGCCTCGTAGGTCTCCTTCCGCTTGCCCCCCAACTTCTCGAAGCCCTTGTACTTCTCCAGGTCCTCCGAGAGAAAGATTTGTCTGGGAGATTTGTTTCGAGTTCGAGGAGCAGGGGAGTTCGAGCAGGGGAGTTTTGTAGATGTGGCATTGGGTGTGTCTGCGTGAAAATGGAAATCCGAAATCCCCACCAAACGCGAGTTCGAGGAGCAGGGGAGTTGGTATAACTGGGCTGTCTGATTTATGATCTCCCATATCTCCCGCTAAAAGTGAGTTTAAGCTTTAGTGGGTGAAATAGACATCCAAACACCAAACACTAAAAGGCTGAAAAGCTACGGGGGATGGATGGGAGCCGAGTATAGAGTTGGCATGTGCGTCTTGGTAGGTACCCGTTTGGCGGGTTGGGTTAGAGGGAAACCAACAGGGAAACCGGCGCAAGCCATTTTGGAGCAGTCCCCTATTGTGAGACACCCATTTCGAGGTCGATTTCGATCTCGGGATGGGAGGGGCCAGGTCTCATGGGATTCGGAGACGGGGAAACCAGAAGGAAACCAAGCTCAAGATGGTTCTCCAAGTCCCGGAATCCCGATATGTGTCAAAGAAAAGGACGTGGGCCTTTCACAAATCCCACGTCTCATTCTTATAGGAATCTGGGAGGTTTCCCTTCTTGCAACCAAACGGTATGCTGTCTCAAATAGCCGCACGCTTTCGCGCGGAATCAGCCAGCGGTTGCAGACGGCCAATGCGTTGCAAAAGGCCGGGAAAGGGGAGCCAATGAGGTGAAACTTCAGGGATGTGAGACTGGATGGACGAAATCCGTCACTTTGAAGCCATGCGGAAACCATGGTGTGTTGGTACTTACCAGGCAATCATCATTCCAGGGTTTCTTAGGTGGTGCAGGATTTCGTTCATCCGCAGTATGGCTGTGGTTGTCAAAACAATAGGGTAACCCCAACATAGCTTGCCTTAGAAAATAGAACCCAAAGACTTAAAACCTGCAGTCCAACTGGTAAAATGCTGACCCATACCCATATGAAGATTTTGTTTATCCATAACTTAGCTTCCATTTGTTTTACCCCCATCCCCCCCTGAAAAACCTGAAAAACAAATCCGGTAGGGACGGATCCCCTTTATATATATAGAGAGATATATGTCTAAAAAAAAAAACGTTCAGCAACCGGAAGTTAGATCACCTGAAGCTCGGAGCTCTCTGAGATTCACAAACATCTCCTTGGCGCAGGCAGGCAGGAACCCCGTCTCCACCATCTGGATCATGGTCTCCACCTCGCAGCAGAGGCTCGAGATGTAGTTCTCCTCGGACCGCAAGGACCGCAAGCATTGGCCCAGGAAGAAATGTGTTGGGATGGTGGTTTCGTTTTCTTTCTTTTTTGGTTGCGTGTTTTTTGGCGGGGGACGTTGGCATGGGAAGTTCAAACGAAAACCACAGTGTCACTCCTCAGTTTGCAGGTGCCCTGTTTCTGGGCTGCCCGTTTTCGGATCCCCCGCCAAAAGTGAGTTTAACTTTTAGTGGGTGAAACGCAAACCACCACGAAACGCTAACAAGCAAAAAAGGCCAAGTTGCACCGGATGGCTGGGAGCCACCAAGGATCGGTTGGGATCTTGAAGCTTCGGTTTTTTTGGTTTGGGGAGCCAAAAGGCTCTCCTCGGACCCCAAGCATTGGCTGCGTGTGGTGTTGGGGATGGCGGTTTCTCTTTTTTGGGCTTGGCCTGGGAAGAAAAAAGGAAGCCGAGAGAAGAATTTGGGGGTGCCCCTTATGGTCTTGACCGCAATCTAGAACGCAACGATCGCATGCTCGGCTGCATGTGGCTGAAGCCGCTGTGAATGGACACAATCCATGTCGCACCAGTTTCTAGTTGGTTTATCAACCAGTATTTATAGGAGTTTATCAACCAGTATCCATTCCAACTGTTGCACGATTTTGTCCACTGTATTTTCTGGGCTCTCAAAGCCCCGACCAACAAACCAACCGCTTCGCGTATGGGGCCCCGGTTTCGACACAAACTGAGCAGTTGAGACATCCCCGCCATGGAACATCTCCCAGACGCAACGGTCCCTCTATTCAACATGCATGCGGAAGGTCTGAAGTTCCCCTCAGAAGTCCAGCTACCTGCCTACATCCTGAAGCAACCGGAGGGAGGTTCAATGGAAATCCCTCCCGAGATGTGTTGTGTTTATTGTTTTTTTTCTTAAAAAGAAGAAGAAGAATAAGAAGAAAAAAAAAACAGCCGAACAGGCGACCCGAAGTTCGCAAAAGACAACCTAATCATTTCTCTAAGGCGAGACAGAGAGATGGAAGAAGCGAGTGAAAGAAAGACCAAAAGCCTTTCCATGAGATGGAGATAGGAAAGGCTTGGTGAGTGAGGGATGGGAACAGATTAATCAGATACAAAGACAGTCGTGTACTACAGGAAATTGACAACCTACCCAAATAAAAGAATAAAGATTCAGAAACCAAAAGCACAGAAAAAAAAGTCCAAAATAAATCTACTAGATGTAAATAGTATCAAATATATGAAGGTAAGAGGCTTCTCACAAAGTAACATAAGACGAAGATAGAAGTAAATAAAATAATGATTCCTGCATGTTTATTTGGCACAGTTTTTAACATAGCATGTTGGCATAAGAAATGCCATTCAAATTAGGGTACTATATGGAAAGGAGTTATAATCCACATGCTTCTATCGCATTATCTGGAAGTGGGAAATAAGAGAACCCAGAGGTGAATTGAAGAAGATATAGATAGAGAATTCATATTTATATATATATCCATGGAAATATTGACTACTAATGAAAGGACAAAATGATATTTCACTACATACTAGTGGAATTCAAGTTAGGAGTAAATGAAGATAGAGCATGAAGATTACACTTACGATAAAGAAGAAAACTGCAAAGAATAAATGGGCATAGCAAATAAAAGACAAAGAATCTTTTCAATGTTGGATTGTAAACATAATGTCCTCCGCAAAGCCATTCTATTAAAGATGGAATGGATGATAATAAATTTGTAATTACTGTAACTCCCCACAAACTCATTTGTCCCATTCGGTACTCTCCAAAGTCCTGCCGAGCACCCACCCGCCAAATCCACCAAGGGCAAATACACCTAAGTCCACTCTTAACCCACTCTAAACCCACAAACCCACTCTAAACCCACTCTAAACCCACTCCTAACCCACCCGAACCTCCCAGCCAAACCCCACCCTTAAGCCACGGCACGTACATGACCTCCTGGCGCGCGTCCGTCTCCTCCGCAGAGTAGATCTTCAGGGTCTCGAAGAGCCTTCGGAGCGTCATGCGGATCCGTGGGGATTTTCCGGACCAATGGGCCGTAACTTGGCCGATCGTACCGGGCACCACCCCCCCCCACAAAAAAGAAAAGATCCGGGAGAAGGAGTTTGGGGGTTCTGGGTGTGGCTCAAAAGGCGGAAATCGGTCCCTAACATTTGCTAGAATGGTGGTTTTTGGTTTCCCTTCCCTTCAAAATGACGAAAACCCAACAAAAGGGCACCATCCAAAGTGCACAACCAAAGACAAGCATGCCAGGAGGGATAACTAGCTTTGACAGAGTCGCATTTGAAGGGTCCTGTCGCCCGCTTTCAAATGAGCCAACGGCATCAGCATGCGATGCGTGTTCCGCAACGGCTGTCTAAGTGATGGTGTGCCTACTCGCCATATGATAGGTAAGATTGAAGCAGCAGGTTCCGATTGCAATGGTTTTCCACCCGCACTTCCTGAACTGGGCTGCCCGTTTTCGGATCCCCCGCTAGAAGTGACTAACTTTTAGTGGGTTAAATGGACACTACCACTAAACACTAACTGGCTAAAAAGCCTAGGAACCGGATGGCTGGGAGCCACGAAGTGAAACATGCCAGCACTCACGCGTTCAGTTGGTATCAACAAGTGCAGACCCGCTTTGGTGTCATGTCGGCTCACCTTCAACAGTCCAGCAACTTCTTGCGATCGCGAACATCACCCTGGGGTTTATGTCCAGCAAATTGCAGATTCTGCTTCAAACTTCATCGAACCTGAGAATATGAGATTTGAACCCAAACAAGTTCCAATTTGTTGTAGCCATATCTACCGGGGCGTCCAAAACTGCCCAACCCTCCAATCCAATCCCCGAGTTTTCAAGCCATACAAGTCCAGGAAGCCGAGCTGTTTTTCCTATTCAAAGCATCCGACTTCTGGGATTTATGTCCACCTGCCGTTTCCAAATAGCCAACCCCAACCCTCCAGAGCTACAGCTCTAACGAAGCCAAGAAGTGCCTTGCTCTTGTTCTGTCTTTTGCCCCGTCTAAGAAAGAGCTCAACCCAGGGATGCGTGGTTTCCCTAATAAAACCCCTGGGTGTAAGTCTACCTGTTGACCCCTGTTTACTAGTTTGGGGGTGTCTCTGGTAGTGGGGATTCAGACCACGAGGGCCAATAAGGATTCCCTTTTTCTTCTGCAGTCTATTTCAGTTGGGGAACCCTCTCAACCAAAAAACGAGGAAAAACAAAGGCACCTAGCTGGGGGACCTAGTTGTAGTCAAAAAAAAACAAAAAAAGGCCCGCCAGGGGCTCCTTTCGTCTCAGGTCCTGGCAAGAGAAAAGCTCGGCGTGTTGACCCCTTCCCTGATTTCTTCCATATTTCAGCCTACCCCATAAAATACCAAAACTAGTGTGTGTGTGTGTGTGTGTGTGTGTGTGGGTGTGTGTGTGTGTGTGCGTATGTGTTCTTCTTTTTTCCGAGCCCCCAGAAAACCCAACGAAAAAAAGCGAAAACCCCAAAACCCAAAACACCCCAGACGTGGATCGACTTCTCCTTCAGCCCAGGGGCTTCTTGTTCTTGTTGATTGAACCACCAGGTCAACCCTGAATCGCCCTCTTTTAAACCAAATCAACCAACATTTCAACCAAATCCACCAGTTACCAAATCAACCAAGGTGGTGTTTTGCCTTAAAACAAAAAAAAAGTTGGCACAACTCGGGCGCAAGCCTCTGCCCTCTCCTTCTTCAGCCCAAGCGGCTTCTTGTTCTTGTCGGAGTTCCAGGTAGCCACGGCCTTGGGCGTGGTGTTCAAGTTCGGCAGCCCCCGCTTGGAGGCCTCGATGGGCCACTCCGCCGAGTAGCCGTTGCCCGTGAAGATCACGTGCTTGTTCTCCTGGAGGAGTCAGACGTGGCTGTGGTGGTCAAAACCCTGTGCCCCAAACCCCTGGTGAACCTCAAAATAGGCGGTACATGGGTGTTCATCCCCAAAATGGGATCGCCATAGGTTATGACCCATGGCCACATGTACGTCTATACGTAAATGCAGCATAGATGATCCATAGATGTCTATACACAGTTCTAAGCCACCCGCGTGCGATGCGAAAATCTCCTGGCAGAAGAAGGGGGCAAACAAAATCACGTTTTGCCCGCTACACATCGCTACACAGCTTCCAGGTGTGGGGCAAAAAACACGAACCACTCTCCAAAAAACCCACAAAGGGAGGACTTCCTCCAATTCAGGCTTACCTGAACCCTCGAGGCCCCGGGGAAAAATGGTGGGTTAATAACCCTTATATTCAGCAGAGCCTGTACTTATTTCTTCGTTCATTGGTTGATTTGTTCTACTGCCTTCTTTTCGCACGTGGCGTGTCCACTCACTGGAGGTCTGTGAAAAAAACCAGGGGTGGTGGTAGATAAATATCCAAGGGATACCCAAGGCATGCGAAACAAATGGTCAAGGCATTCTAGCTGTACTTCTCCTTTTTCGCAACGAGTTTGGCTTCTCGCTTTTCACTCACTAACAAAGAATGGTGATTTCCATTTCTTAATCACTATCAAGCGAATCCCTTGGCATTGCTCTCACACGCCTTGTCTCGTGGCAACCATGCGAGATTACGAGCATGCCTGCCACGACCCGTCCTGATGTCTCTGCGATACGACCATGATGTCTATTGCGTCCAATGAATGTGACGCTTGCGCGTCGAATGAGTATGCGAGGGGCGGCAAACACCAAACGCGAAACACCACCAAAACGGAACAAACACCCCGAAAAACGCGGCCTCTGCCTACTTGCTGTTCCAGAAAAAATGGTATCGCTTCGCCGGATCTCCTTCGAGATCCTCCGGCTCCAGCACAAAGGGTGCCGTAGGCCACTCAAGCTCGGCACTTATCAGAAGTCCCTAGGTAGCCAAGTTGCTGCTTGTTTCAGTCACTGTTGCTGGTTTTTGGGGTAAAGTGCATGGAAAAAACAGCAACTGGCGATCCAGGTCTTCCTCAAAGCACCGTGTTGACTTGCTCTGCCTTTGGGCTGCGTGGCCTAAGCGCAAGGCCTGCCGCCATGATGGCAAAACCAAGACTTGGGACAGCGCTCCAGGTAGGGCACGCTGTTTCTCAGAGCAATGGCTGATGGATGGTCTGACTGAGAGTATCGAGTGCGCAGCGGAAAGACGAGGCCTCTGCCCCAAGGCTCTTCACTGGCATTGCCGGGGTTCAGGAAAATTCCCTCTGCCTTGAGAGAGGGAAACCAGTAGCCAATCTGAATGACACAAAAAGCACCATCCACAAGAGCCGGGGTTGCCGATGTGCCGATGTGGCCACTCAAGTTGCCGGTTCGCCACGTTGATGCCTTCCGCGACCAAGAGTCGGCAAGGCAGGTGAAACGGCAGGATCGGCCCTTCCTTCTGAGTGGCCCTGCAGCCAGTTGCTTCGCCGAGAGTTTCAGGGCCTGAAACCAAGCTTGGGCGGGTCTCTGTTTTGATGCTGCCTTATGCCTTTTTGGAGTTGCTGTTCAAGGGAAACCACCAGGACACCCACCATTTCGGGAGTTCCTGTATTTTCGAGACACATTCGCCACCCCCAAAAATGGTGGGTGCTCCTTTTGGTTTCTCCTTAAAACCGACCAAAGGGAGGGGTTTCCGATTCCAGCTAAGAAACGACACCGTCAAATGCGCAACACGAGGTCCTTGTACATCTCCGCCACGGCGTCGCGGTGGCTCTTGCCCCCCTCGATCTTCGAGGCCAGTTCAGCCATGCCCGCGCTCATCACGGCATTGCAGACCTGGTGTCTCTTTTAGACCCATGGTGGTTTGCTTTTCGGTTTTCCTGGAGAAAAAAACAGACTCTAAAAACTTGCGTGTGTGTGTGTGTGTCCTCAACAAAAGACCCACCCAAATCCTGTTGTCGAAGCAACCTCTCTTTTGGGTTGCATCGATTCGATTCCCCAACTCCAGAGGCCCAACTGGCGGGTCCTGCGAAACTGCGTGTTTTCTTGGGGTTGCCGAAGTCCCCTGGAAAATTGGAAACTCCCTTTGGTTTTCTTTGGTGCACCAAATGTTGTTCTGTTGATTTGAGAGGGACCCCCCAACCCCAAAAAGAAGAGGACCTGTAGTTGCGGGCACTGGGTGTCTGTAGTTCCCTCCCCTGGTTTCCACCTCCTTCTGGTCCCCCCTCCACAAAAGGACAAAAAGCGCACCACGCCCTCCAAACCGGCTGCCCCTCCGAAAACAGTACTTTAAAAAAATAACGGGCCACAAACAAAAACGGACCACAAGAGGGCCTTCGATTCTCCTTGGTCCCAACCCCCTGCCGGCCTTTTTGGGGGGCCGCCGACCAACCCAAAATCCCCCCGGAACCCTTCCCGCCTCTTTTGCTTTGGGCCCACCCCGCTCCCGCGGCTCGGCTCGGCGGAAAAAAAGAAAGAAACAAAAATCTCTCCGGGCGCCCAGCGAAGACCAAAAAAATCCCCCCGAGGCGCCATCACCGGCAGGCAGCAGTTCTGCGAGGAGCCCACCGCCCGGAACCTCGGCGCTGAACGCGCTTCGCGGTGCTTCGCGCTTCGCGCGGGGGGCGTCGGGTCGGAACGGGAAGTCCGAAGGCTCCACGGGGTTTTGGCCAAAGGGAATCCATCCGGGTTGCCGCTGGGTTGCCTCAATGACTTTTGGGTCCCATGACGTTTGTTTTTTTCCCAAAGCTCCAGTTCTAAGCCAAGCTCCGGGTGCCGTTGAGTTGCTTTTGCCCGTGACTTTTGGTTGAAAAGCAGCGACGACCTCAAATAGCTGTGTTTTTTTGTGGCCGGAGGGGGGGGGGCCTTGCTTTGGGGTACCCAAAGAAAAAGCGGGCTGATTTTACCAAACCCGGTTTGGTTGAAGGGAAACCATTGACTTTGACAAACTGAAGGCAATAAAAGAACGATCCCCCCCCATCTACCCACATTTCGACAAGAAGACTTTGCGGCGAGTTCCCGTTTTGTAGGCAGACCTGGCAGACATGCAGAACTGAAGAAGCCACAAGCGAAACTTTCGTCGCATGGTTAAAATCTTTGACTCAAAAACCGAGCCCGACTTCACTTCGAAGCCGCTCGAAGCGGTTCCCGCAGAAGGGGAAGGGTGCGGTGCGGTTGCGGTCCTGCAACGATGTGGCCCTGGGATGGTGTTGCAGGGAAACCAAAAGAAAGCCACCATGTTTGTTCTCGGGGAGTCCGATTCTTACAAAAAGACACACCCATGTATCAGCTTCCACCTTGCTTGGTTGTTTATGATTGGTTCGGGAATTCGAACCTTCACCATCAAACCATCGATTCGGTGGTAAAAACCCAAATAATTGGTGTAAAACCGAATAGAAGAGACCCCTTCAACCACCAAACCACCACTCCAAACCAGAAAATACCTGGACAGAATGCTGAACATAGGGACCCCTGAAAGAGGAATTCACATCTCAGCCCTGCACAGGGCGATTTTTTGCGCGACCGCCGCTTCGGCCGATCCCGAGAAAAAAACTCCTCCACGTTGGCCTCGATGTGCATCGCCGCCGAGCAGCCCGTCTCCTCACGGCCGATCTGGACATTTCGTCCCGTTTGGATCGTGGATCGCCGCCCTGGGGGTGCCAGGGGCCCCCAAAAAAAGGCGAGGGCGTCTCGCAGTTCCCGGAAAGTCACCGGAAAGTCCGGTGGCTATGTTTAAGATTGGGCTTGTTTGTGGGTGCGAAGTTTGTTTGCATGGGAGTAAAACAAAGGTCGACCCAACTTGGATGATGACAATCCTTGGGTAAATCATGGTGCTTCTATGAATCCCCGCATTGTTTTAATGACGGTTTGACCCCCAGGGTAAGGGGGGCGAGTTGGGGAGGGGGGTAACTCCCTTACTTTACCCCGCCTAGATAGCCAAGTTGCGATCGCTTTTTCCAGTCGCTGTTGCTGGGTTTCTGGGGTAAAGTGCATGGAAAAAAACAGCGATCCAGGCCCCTTAAGAAGGCCGTAAGGGCGTATCAACTTGGCTTACCCTAGGCTTATCCACGGATACCTCCCCCCGCCCTCCCCCCCTCCCAAGGGTCCATGAATTTGCTAGTCTCCCCCACCCCAAACAAGAAGCAAGAACGCGACGAGTCACGCAAATTTCAATATCATCCACCTGAACATCGCCGCACAATCGGTGGTTTTCCCAAAGGTCTGAAATGGTTTTCGTGGGCCAAAAAAATGGTGACCCCGGATTAAACCGGTCTATTAATAGGAGGGTGTTCCCCTCCAAAAGTGATGATTCCCCAAGAAAAGGGGACAAACCCCGGATCAAGATTCAACCAAGCGGGTTATCAATCCGGCGTTGACGTTGACCTTAGATGTTTACTGCTAGACGATTGGAACCCTGAAACCACTGGAATCCAGCAATACCAGGCCTAAGGATGCCCGCGGACGAGTCTGTGGAAGAGTCCTATGGAAAATAGTGCCGTCTCAAAACCGAAATTGGGCGATGTTTTGGGCGTACCAGTTCCACCTTGGTTTAAAGGACAACCAAAACCAAACCACTGGTTTTTGGAGACCATCCCTAGTTTCCTTTTCTGGCACATACCCAAATATGAACACGCAAACGTGGTGGTTTGCCTCTTGGTGTCCCTTTGAAACCACCCGAAAACAAATCCTTTGTACCCTGTGTGAGAGAGAGAGAGACAAAGCCACAAAGCCGCTCGCTCCTAGTTGATGGACCTCTGAAGCCAGACTGCAATCCAGCAAACCAAGCTGACCTAATCACACAAAGCCGCCGAGTCTATGGACGAGTCTGTGGACGAGCGACGAGAACTGGGTCCTCCAGTAGAGAGGTTAGAATAAGGATACCAACTTTTTCCTGTAGTCTCTTTTAGTAGGGGAACCCCTCCCTACCAAAAAAGTTGGGTGAGAAAGGGCACCTAGCTCCAAACTAACCTACACACAAAGCCGCCAAGTCAAAAGGACGAGTCTGTACGCAGAGAGCGACGCGAGAGTCGCTCCTGCTTCTTCTTCTCCGCCTTGTAGCCCAAGAGCTCTCCCCCCGCCACGATGCTCTCCACATGCTGCTCGAAGCCCTGACCCGGGTACCTCAGGCGAGCTTGCGGCGCCCGCGCGGAGTTTCGGGCTGGTGCGAGAAGTGAAGTAGGGAATGACCGTCCGGGTGTTGGACGTGAACCGATATTGGTGTATTCTTTTAAAGGAAACCACCAGCAAGGGATGGTTTTTCTTGGGTCCATATTTTGGGTATTCCGATATTCCCTCAAAGGAAACCACCAGCAAGGGATTGTTTTGTTGGGTCCATTCCGCTTCTCGTTCCCTGCCTATCGCAACAGCAAGTTGTTTCCCTGCGAACATCGACTATCTCGGGTCGAAAGGGGAGCCTATAGCTATGGAGCCCAAGTGACCCTGACACCCCAAGCTCCAAATACCTTGGCTTTCTTGACCAGTACCCCCAACTGCCTTTCCCATGCACAACATCCCAAGTACTACAACCAAGCAGCAGTTGTTGGGGGGCTTGAAAACGGTTTCTCATCTTGAAAAATGGGGGGGGGGGAAGTTCATTGACGTCCTTATCTCTTGCCAGTCAGGCTGCAACCAGCAGTCGAGAAAGCTGGATGGATGGAATGTTGGGACCCGGCATGGAACACGCGGGGGACGTGTACATATATATATATATATGTATATATGCACCCCCTCCCCCCCCCCCATGGAAGCTCACCAAACCAGGGTCAATGGGGAGGGGGTACGATCCATATATATATATATAATGTATATATATATATATGTTATGTAAATATATGTGTATATTATGTGTATATATATATATATATTATGTATATATATATATATATATGTGGAGTTGCCCAATTTCTTGGACACAGAAGCCATAGGCGCGGGCCCCGAACGCGAATGCCAGAAGGACAAGGGGTTTGAACCCAGGGGGTAGTTCGACAAGAACCAGGTCAGGCAAAGAAACCTTTTTCAAAAAAGGAAGCCTGTCGGGCACCAAGAAGTCTAACGACCTGGGGTCTCTTAACAAGACGCTAGAGCTATGTGTGGAAGGTTTCCTTGCAGTTTCCCTGTGAAATGGACGAAATCAGTGCGAGACACGGGGCCGGTCATGTAGGAAAGGTGTGCCAATCCAGCCCCCCCCCCAAGCACGGCACCACAACAAGTCGGGTGTCTTTTTTAGGGGACCCTCTGAATTCCGAAGAAGTACCCAACTCCAAAAAAAACACGAGCCACCCATCTGGCTTGCTCTGAACACCGTTCCAGTGGTTGATGCAATTTTGCCTCCACCCAACCCTGGAGGGCAGCATAAATCCAAGCAACCCGGGCAGCCCCCCACCCACTTTGGGAGGGTAAAAGCCGTGCTGACTCCGCCCTCCCGGCCCCCGCCACTCCCGCGGACTCCCCCGCTGAGAACGTCCCTCCGAGGCGCAGGGAGATAATGGCGGGCGGTGCCTCCTGGGCGCCGAGGCGGTGGTCGTTGCCCGAGTGCGCCACCGTGCACCGCACCATCTCCTCGGCCGCAGTGGCGGCGAAGCGGCGAAGCGGAGGGGGTGGGGCGGCGGCTTCGGCGAGTGGGGAGGGAAGCGGTGGAAGTCGAGAACGGGGGCGACTGCTCAGATGCCCATGTGGATTTCCACGGGAGAAAAAGGGCATCCGATTTTGGTTGATTGGAGTTTAAAGGAATCGGAACCCTTCCCAAAAAAAGGACAAAAGGGGCGGAATCCACTGGGCAACAGGGACTGGGGCGAAGCGGCGAGGCGGTTCGAGACGGGGGAAGCCCAAACTGGGGGGGGGGGGGTTGGTTCTGGTGGAATCCGAGCCCTGGCCTAAACCAACTGGAAACCCGCAAACCAAGCCTGATGCACATATAAACAAGCTATAAACCAGGGAACCCTTTTGCGGTTGCTTTTAGCGGGAAACAAAAGGAAAACCACTGGTTTGGAGGAGTGCCCCTTAAAGACACACCCATATCAGGGTTTTGTACTTTTGGGGACAGGGTTCCACAACCCCTAGCCCTGCCTTAAGGCATGTCCGCCTGCCTAATTTTTCGAACCATGTAAAACCAGGGCTTTCAACATGCACTCGTTTTGGAGGAGGCCCCAGTAATTGTCCCTGGCAGGGGGAGTGAGAGCCCCTGATTCCCTGAATTGCCGAAAGATCCCCTTGGCCACGCGGATCTAACCTAAGAAGTAAACCGAAAAGGGGGAAAAGAGCAAAACGCTGAAGGGAGATGGTCAACAAGCATCGGTTTTTATCTTGACACGTTGGGCGACTACAGGAAAAGGATTCCCGGAATCCACTGTTGGCTTGGAAGAAACAACCAAAAACCTCATCCTTGTGCAAAGAAATCCCAGATCCCAGTTGTTCAGAGACTTCTTTGGTTGAAAGAGATGAAAACCAAAGGGTGTCTCTCTCACCTCAAAAAAGGAACTTTAGGCTCCCAGTTCAATGACTTTGGATAAAAAGAACCCAAGGTCCTTACTCTCCCATGCAAACGCAGCAGGCGTCACACTCCAGGTAGCCAAGTAGCTGCCTTTTTTCGGGGTTCCCCATATTCTCTTCAACATCACTCCACCCAAAGGAAACTCATGTTGAAAGGCCCGTGATGTTTGAACCCCCGAAAGAGGAGAGCAACCTGGTCACTTCAGGCGAATCGGACTTCTTGGTGGAATCGCTCGCCATAGAATCGGCAAAACTCTGACCATGAATTCATTCCATCCCCAGAAACTTAAAATGCAAACTGTTTGTAGGGCACATGGTGTGGAAAATACCTCCGATTTTAGACAGGTCTTGACATATCATTCACCAAAAAAACAGAGGCGGACAGTTGTAACTGGGGGCGGTCTCCTCATTGAACCCATACCCTCCTTTTTTTCCAGAACCAAAAAGAAAGCATCCAGTTGTTTTTCATGTTTTCGCCCAGAAAGCGCCCCATGGACCCGACATCGACTCGAGCCATGGCGCGTTGTACTGCGCCAGGCCGTAGGCCAGGCAGGCGATGGCGGTGACGTAGAGCTTGGCGCCCGCCTGATTCAGGGGCTGAACCCGGCTCTGCGGTTGGCGGGAGGCACGGCTGCGACGAAGGCGGGTCTTCCGTTGGCCCTGAAAAGAATGAGAACATAGGTCCAGGAATGACAGATTCCCTTTCAAGCCGAAAAGGGGGAATCAGAATGATAAAAAAAAGAACTCAGGCAAATGGAAGAGGATGGGTTGCACCCAGATGAACTAGGAACCCCCACAAACCATCGGTTCTAGACACTTGGGAACCCCCCGGAACCAAGGAGGGGTTCCCCTTGTTCGAGGCTCAGAAAGTCATGCCGACTCCCCGTTGTTGATCAAACAAATCCCCCTGGAGGAAAGGAATCTGCTTTTGAAAAGGGACCCCCTGATTAATAACTTGGCGGTGTATTCATCAGAGGTCGGTAACTGGGCTAGAGCCATGGTGATGAAAGAGACAATAGCTCAGACGTGTCGAGTTACAGTACGCAGTAGGATCAAGATCCGAGGAGTAAAGAGATCCCCAACCTTTCCCCAACCTTTCCCAAACCTTTCCCAACCTTGCCTTCAATTCCCCCCCTCTTTTCCCCCCGCCCCCCCCAAAAAAAAACAACACCCTCTCCTTCAATGATCCAAGGCCAGGCCAATTGTTTTCGGAAAAACGCAACTCGTTCCTCGCCTCGGTCTTGCCGGGGTAGAAGAAGTTCAGCCCCGTGTCGGTGCCGATGGACCAGTTGGCGTGCTTCCCGCTGCCGTTGATGCCCGCGAAGGGCTTCTCGTGGAAGAGCACCTAAAAAACCGCGGCGGAGCTGTACTAGGTGCTCCAGATTTGAGAGGTTAGAATAACGGTACCCTTTTTCCGTAGTCTATTTTAGCAGGGGAACCCTCCCCAAAAAAAGGGGAGAGAAGGGCACTGCTGGCGGACCTAGTTTAAGCGCGAGGAGTTGCCAAGATGGGTGGCTCGTCCCTTTGTTTGGAGTTGGTCCCCCCCCTTCTTTTTTTGGATCCGCAGGGACACAACAGTAACTGTCTTTCTTAGTTGGTACTTCAAGGGGCAGCTGGTACGTCAGGTGAGTGGTTAGTAAGCCTCGTGAGATAACCCACACGAGCCATGGTTATAAGTCTCTCACCAGGCTTACTACCACTAACTGAGTACAAGCCCCCTTTAAGTACCTCCGTGTTTGGTGGTTTTAAAGGGAAACAAAAAGGAACACGACAACCATTTTAGGGGCTTCACCTAGAAAAGGACACATGCGCTCGGTTGACACGGGTACTGGCGCCCTGTGCCAAAGCTGGCCTTGTCACGATTCACGAAGGACACCTTTCTAGCTGCACCTTCCATGTCCATCCTCTTCAGGCATCCTGCTCTGCAAGCTGAAAAAGGCACGGAGAACGAACTGAACCTTTTTAACCCCGAGTTCAGGCCGCTAATTTAGGACCTCCTCATGGGACCAGAAGCAGCTGGGTCGACTGTTTCACTGCAATGTAAAGGGCTAAATATAATTTGACTAATTGATTATTGTTAGCTTGCTCTTAATGCTTTACTTTCATGCTTTACCAATCGTGACTAGATTTAAGTCAAAGCAAGCCACGGACTCTTATTCTTCTTATAGAAGTGTGCCCCGTGTCAGTCATCGCCGACAGGAACCTTTCACCCGGAATCCGAAGATCCAGAACCCCTTCGGCTCACTGTCATCTTTTCTGAGAAACCCGGAGGGTACCAACGCCATGACTCGCCTGGGTCCATCCAACGGCCTCGAATCCACAGTCAGCTCCAAGACAAGGTAACCAGCTGTTTTCCCTTTGGTGCTTAAAGGGTGGCTCTCATGGTTTCCTATAATGTTCACCTCATATAAATTTCAGCCAACCAGTTTATTCATAGGGGAGTGTCCAACTGGGTGTAGTGGGGAATCTGAACGCCCTATAAACTGGGGTTGATTAATATGGGGTGAACATTCGTGGAGGGACAAAATCCTGCACCCGAGTTTTCATCACGCTTCTTCCATCCCAACTGGTGCGAAGTGGATTTTGTCCACCACATTGTATAGACCCCATCCATCCATCCATCCATCCATCCATCCATCCATCCATCCATCCATCCATCCATCCCCATCCATCCATTATATTTTGTCCATCCACCGGTGAGAATGGATTCCCCTTCCCCCTGCCTTCTGCGTTTGACCCCCCCCCCCCCGACGCAATCCCCCCATCGCCTGCAAGCCTAGCTTGGCCGCCTCACGGTTCATCACCTGAAGCTGCTAACTGCTTAGACGGCCCGGGAAGATGCGATGAAACCAGTCTAAACCGGTGGAACCCATCCATGTCTAACCAAACTAACCTCAAAACTGGGCTGCCCGTTTCCGGATCCCCCGCTAAAAGTGACGGGTCAAATGGAAACTACCCGTAAACACTAAAAGGCTAACAAGCTAAGGAACCGGATGGCTGGGAGCCACCAAGAAAAGAGCACCTACGGAACCAGGTTCTCCGCTTTTCAGGTGGCCAGCCGCGCGCCCAACTCAACACGCAAAGTCGGATCGGATTCTGCTTCATATGTAGTCCACCCTAAGGCATAAAATCTTGGAGACCCAAAATCCACGAACAGCTTGAAGGAAATGAAAAAAGGGCAGACCTGGGGGGACAAAGTTGGGACCCTTGCCGCAGGGTTTGACTGCCTATTTTCTGAGGTGTGAAATCGGGGATTTGGGCTCCAGAGGATATAAGGTTTCTACCTTGGGCTGGAAGAGCTAACACTCACTGGCTGAGTGGATGGCCCCAAAAAAGTCCAAACTTTATATTTACCACTAAAATGGTCTTCCCAAAAAGTTTAAAGTTCATGAACTTAGCAGTTGAGAACAAATGATCAATGTCCTTCTGGTTTAGTGGAAAAGTGGCACGTGCTTCGGCGTTTTAGTCCACCTCTTGTGTGGAAAAAAAAACTTCGTCTCCATGGTGCTTCCCAAGCCAAACAGCGACGCGCGCACACACACACATGCTCCAAACAACAAACACACAACTCCAGGGTGGTGCCAGCTGCATGACATACGCTTACACTTGGTCTCATTTGTTTGTTTGTTTCCCTTTCAAGGGGATCCCATGGAATCTGATCCCCCCAGTTCTCTGCCTCTTTCCTTTGCAACCAACCTACCACAGGCTGCATCTCTCTGCTATCGGCCAAAACAAGAAACGGCGCTCACCTGCCCGATCTGTGCCCTGCGTCACCAAGTAGCCCCCCTCAATGCCAGGCGCTCCCATATTTCCGCTCAAAACATCACCCCAAAGGAGACATACTGAAAAGACATGGCCACCGAAAGGTGATGCTTATAGTGCCCCTTTGTCAGGAGAATTGTCTCCCCTGGCTCCGTTTGGAGCGGTCGCTCCAAACGTCGGTTTGGAGGAACAAAGCCTGAGGCCTATGTGCATCGCTAGGACAAACCACCAATCCGAACTGGTGCGAACTGGACATTTTCTCCAACCACAGGCGATCCCCAAGCTTGCTGGTGCTCAGTAGAAAATGACCTTCCAGGTTTTGGGGAAGCGGAAGGACGGAAACCAACTCGGGGATGGTCCTGCCTATCGAACCAGCAAGTAAAGGCAAATCCCTAAGGCCGAAACCTTTGGGGCGGTGCGGTTCCCGGCATCGAACCGCAGGCGCGATGCATCGATGCCGGGCCGCGAACATCGCGGGCACGGAAGGCTTGCTTCCAAGATGGGGACTACCATTTGGTCGCTTCGGTGTCTGGAGTACACCCCCCCAAAAGGGGCACCTTTCGCCTCAAAAAGGCACAAATCCAATTGGAGATGTCCTGGATTCATTCCAACTTGTGAGTCGCGGTTTCCGAATCCCATGGTTGATCCCATGATTTTCCTGCATTTGCTTAAGCCCCCTAAGATTCTCTTAGAAACCAGAAGGAACAAAAAACACATCTTCCTTTCACGGAAGTCGTCTTCAATGAGAAAAATATCTCGTTTCGCCTCTCGTTCCTCGTGTCGCGTTTCGTTTTTATCGCCTCCATGAAGAGCACGTTGCTGTCGCAGGAGACGTTCGCCGCGCGGAAGACCGGAGACATCTCGTGCTGGCCCGGGGCCACCTGACGTATTTTTTTGACAACCGGCCGGCGAGGACGGTGACTCCGTGGTTGAGGTGAAAGGTGCTCCCTTTTCTTTCTCTTTTTTTTTTTGGGGGGGGGGGGGAGAATCTTTTTGTGTGCCCGTGCTTCTTTATTTTTTTTGGGGGGGGGGGGGGAAGAATCTTTTTGTGTGCCCGTGGTTTATTGTTTGGGGGGGGCGGGGGAATCTTTTTTTGTGCCCGGTTTGGTGTGTGTTTTTGGGGGGGAGTCCGTTTTTGTTTTTCGGAAAAACCTAACCACCGATTCAGGATTCGAAGCCCATTTGCCGAGCTGGGCATGAGTCTTAAGTTCCTAAGCGATGCCCACCAAAAGAGCTCTAAATCAAAATTCATGCTCCTCATCCGACTTTTGTTGAGCTTCTTTGGGTAAAGCCAAAGAACAATCCCCAGAAATGCTCCGACAAACCTAGAAAAAATGTGTTTTCTACCCTAACACATGTATATATATATATATATATATATGTATCTATGATGTCTAATAACTCTGGAGGAGACCCTAGGTTTGTAGCGTGATCTGTGGCTCAGGTATGCTATAGGGTGATCCAGTTCTGGTCAGAATGCCGAGAAATAGGTCAGTCCCCTGGAGCTTGCCGGTCTCATAAATATATCCCCAGTGTCATTAACCTCTTCGTCTTCCCATACTTGGATGAACGAAATCCGTTCGCATCTGATATGATTCCCCTGGAAATTCCAACAAACAAGGGCTTCAACCATGGTTTCTTAGGTGGTGCGAAATATATTTTGTCCATCCGAAGTGAACCCAGGGAAAAAGGGCTATGTACATTTTATAGAGTTGCTATATGGCTGTATGTAGCATGATCCTCGGGCTGGATTCGGTGTCGGAGTAAGCGGAAACCATCATTGAAATCACAAATCTAAAGGGTACCCCTTGCTTGGGTGTGTTTTTAAAGGGAAACCACGAAGAAAACCATGTTTTTCTTGGGGGGTCCCCTAAAACAATGTCCCCCGCAAAGAAGTTGAGTCGTCTCGCCGTTTCTTGAGTCACAAGAACGGAAACCCAAAAGGGCAGAGGTTCGGGCAAGTCAAGTCTGGTAATGTGTTTACTCACCCCAAAGGACGAAAATAAAAGGTGATCACCGTTTGGGGACCACGAAAACTATGAAACCAAAGGAAATCTCGAAGCTCAGATCCGGAGGAACCGTTGAGACGAATCAACCGGTTGTTCAACTGGGCTACCAGTTCCCCACTTCACTTCCGATGCAAGCTGCTTATTTACCCCAACGGTCTCTTCCCAAAAAGTAACATGGGAAACGAACCCCCAGTTTCATAGGGGGTGTCCTGGCGGAATTGAGACCACTTTAGGGCATCAGTGTTCCCTAGGCAGTGCCGACGGGATCTATGAACTAGGTCCTCCAGATTTGAGAGGTTAGAATAAGTTGGTTCCCGATTTTTTCTGGTTTGTCTATTTTAGTAGGGGACCCCTCCCACCCAAAAAAGTTGGTCAAAGGGCACCTAGCTGGGTGACCTAGCTTAGATCCGGGAGGGAGTTCCTCGAGGGCGCCATCGCCTCGCCTCGTTGTGCTTCACCGCCATGGGGCAGCCCACCTTCAGCATCTCCGCCGCCACGAGGTCCAGGAGCTCCGCCACCTGACTCGACACGAGGCGAAAGCGAAAGCGAAAGCGGAAACGAGCGGATCTGCCGCGGCTCGGCGGCCGGGCAGAGTACCCCCTGTTGGTGGAAAACCAAACGGAAGACCACGATGCTAGATATGGGAGCCCGTGAAATTCAGGGCGTTCCTTCGGCTTTCATCGACACAGGCGTATAAAAAGGGTGGACCCAAAAACACACACCCATATCGAACTGTGACCAGTGGAAACCAGTTACCACGATGAACAACCCAGGGAAGCCGGAAAATCAACACCTAGAGGGTACGAGTTTGTGGTTATCCTCCTATAGTGGGAACTGAAAGCATAGGGCGTGCGTGCGTGCGTGCGTAAGTGGGTGGGTGGGTGTGGGTGGGTGGGTGGGTGGGTGGGTGGGTTTACAAAAAACTGTCTGGAACTAGATAAAAAGAACTGGATTTTCGAAACACTGCAAAATAGGGGCCCCTATAGTGTCCCTTTCTGAACAAAAAGGATACAGGGAAAACGATGGAACCGTGGATATGTGCAAAAAATGCATCTATGAATAGATGCATGCCCCTTCTATAAGTTTGAGTGCGCATATGCAAGTGTAGGCAAAATCGACCATAGGTTGTCACATATGGGTGCGTATGTTGAAAGGGCGCCTGTTTTCGGGATTGGATCAAAGAGAAACCGGAAGGAGAACCCACCATTTCCGGGGTATCCCTTGGCACATAATTACCCCCAGCCCCTGCAAACCCATCGGAGCCTTGCCCGGGACAGGCTGAAAGTAGTTGAGGTCGCCCTGCTGGTGCCTCGAGGGATGCCACTTGTGAGCCCCCAAAACCCGAGACTTTCAGCTCCAGCATGGTGACAAAAGGTTTATAGAGGCGGCTCTTTTTTTTTTTTGAGGCGGGTCATACTACAACCTATATAATTAAGTCACAATCAAAACCGATCGGTACAAAAATGGTGAACCCAGAACCATGTAAAGAACTAAGAAGGCGGCCGCAGCTACTTATGGCTGGGATCGTCCCTTACTAACCTGCACTTACCCGGGTTTTGATTTTGGCTCATAGGAACTTATGGTTCTACTAAGTTGGCCAATGGACATTTTGGGCGCCGCTCTGGTGGCAGCGCCACATGAAAAGAGCAGCCGGAGCTCTCTACGCTATGGAATGACTTTTCGCCCATCAAGGACCCCGATGGGACATATGTTGAAACCCCGGATTGCATCATCGCAATCATCTACCAAACCCTGTCCTTGAATGACCCTACACATGATCTGTCTGACGGATACCATGTTACAGTCGAACAATCCCTTCTCCCGTGAGAGGGCCCTGTACTCCAAAGTCGCTATTCTTAGCTCATCCCCCAACTGCAAAAGGAACATTGGGACATCCCACCCCGCCCCCGTTATATCCAAACAGCAGATCATGGAGGCATGGCTCCTATGATTTTACTGCCCTTGGCCATGCTAACATAGGTGTCCTTGGGGAAATAGATGGATATCCCTGGTAGATGATCTTGCACCCGGTAAGCCAGGAATCGCCATCTATTTTTCGAGCAAAACTGCCAACAAGGACACCCATGCAAACCTCCCAAAACCTCCTCAGACCAAAAGGAGACGTTCCGCTGCTCAAAGGTTGGCCCATTCCAAGGCGGTGCTTAAACGCCATTGAGGGGGAAGCACCGTCGTTGCCTCCTGAAATGATATGGGCAAATCTGGAGAGCGGTCTATGTATCAACCGGCGGCTCAAAAAAAGGGGTGGCCTCCTGCTAATTTCCCATTAAAAAGTCGAAAAAAAAGGGTTCTGCTATTTTCAGACAGACTCATATGGGGGCTGGCGTTTGCCATCTTCCTCCCAATTTAACGCCCCTGGGAACCAATGAATCATCAACCCGGTAGGGGACCCGGTTTCCTCTGAAAAGTTGTCTCCAGATTTCGAGTAAAGTGGGAACCCCCCCCATATGTCAACCGGGGGGGTCATGAATTTACACGGGTAATGGATTTGAAGGCAGATCACATGGGACACCCCACCCCGCCGAAATCAACCAGGGGAACTTCCGAATTTACGAATCCGGGGCTATTGCTGCCAAACCGTCAAACCCTTCGCGCCGCTACTCTTTGCAGGTAGATTCGAAGGGAGAATCGCAGGAAAGCTCGCCGATGCTTGGATCCGCCCGCCCAAATCCATGTTCTAACGCAGAGCCCCTCAAATCCGATCTCTTTGACACATCCTGCCTTCGACTTGAAGCAGGCCAAGGGATCACCGGATTTCTCTCTCAAAAGATTGGAAGAAAAACGGGATCCATGGAAGAGGACCCCTCCCTTTTGACTCAAATCTCCCCTCTCCTGTTTGACTCAAGTCTAGCCGCGGGCCGCCCACCCACCAAAAAATCTCTGAGCCCCTCATCTCTCAGCCCGTCCAGCGGCCAAGCGGCCTGGTCGGCAGCTTCCCGAACAAGGTCCGCCCGGTGTTCACCAGGTCCGGGCGCGCCTTGTAGCTCTCCGCGCTGAGCACGAAGAACCTCAGAGGCTTCGTCGGGTTCCAGTCGCGTAGCAAGAGGAAGAATGGAAACCACGGGGGGAGTGGGGTGAGCTTCAAAAGTGAAAATCCATATGGCACATATATATATATATACACGATATATATATGGCAGTTGATCAATATTCCTGTTTCCGGAAAACGCCATCTTCGCGAGAAAAAAAGTTTCTTTCGCGAATCTTTCGCGACTCCATCGCCAAGCCCTTTTGTTTGCCCTTTTGTTTGCAGCGTGCGCTCTGGAGCCATTGTGGCTGCTGCAGTTATGCTTGCACACAGGATAGCCGCAGCTCACCTGCGTGCAGTACGTAGTGTTAAGTGCAAGCAGTCACCGTCACTCGCCCTTGCCACTTGCGCTTGCCGGCGATGTGCGGAACCTTGCAACAAGCTCCCTGGACTTTCGCCGGTCTTTCGCGGATCTTTCGCGAAACTTGCTCCAAAATAGCCCAGCCAACGTTATTGATTTGCGCCATTCCTAACACAGGCAGGAAGTCAATAATGCAAGTGTAGGTGCTGCGCATCTGCCTCTACAAGGGAGCGGGGTCTGCAAATATGTAAGTGCACAGGCATGCCTCCAAAATCCAACGCGGAATCTTTCGCGAAAAAATAAGTTTCTTTCGCGAACTCCATCGCCAATCTTTCGCGGAGGGGTTTAAGCCAAGACGAATGGTCACCGAATACATAACTCCTTGCAAGGACCTTTTGATCAACCCCCATATATATATATATATGTAAAAAGGAGAAGAAGAAAACGTTGGATATATACATGGTCTAGAAATGTCCATTCTACTAGTGGCTATTTATAGAAGGCAAGTAGGTTGTTGAGGTGCTTCCAAAGATCGGGTACCCCTGAATTCCATCTGTTTACTGCATGTGCAACACAGATATGGTACAAGAAAGGAATGTAAACCCACCATAATGGGGTTCTCACCATCGGGAACCCGGCCATTTGAAGCAAATCATAGGCAAGGGGGGAGCCGGTGTTGTGGAAGGGGCTAAACCGCTGGAAGGACGTCGAAAACGACGAAACCAAATTACCTCACGGAAGAGAAATGATCTTTGTTGAGCCCTATTTGGGTGTGGGGCCAAAATTAAACCACCAAAAACACCGCAGGTTAGAGTCCTTGGTTCCACTTAACAGGGTTGGATTTTGGGGTTTGACCCAGAGCCACATCAGTATTCCCAGCTCACCGAGTTCATTTTGGGGGAAACCAGAGAGAATTCCTGGCTGAAAGGGGGTTGCTTCACTCGGGCTGAAGCCCTTAAATGGAGCAGGCACAGGAAAAACAGCTTCCTAGTTGGCCATTTAGATTTTTTTTGAGGTTCTGTTCAAAAGTAGGGGTAGTGAAGAGCCAAGAAAATCCCACACACAAATCCCTATTTGACTCACATACCCATGTCATCCGGTACACTTTGTTTTTGGTGTTGAAGAGAAGCCAAGAACACCTAATCTTGAGGGCGCATAGCGATACCCCTCCCCCGCAAGCAAAACAAGAACCTTCGTGCCCGGCCCCATGCCTCTCCGATGACGCGATTCGAATCGCCCCGTTTGGTGTGAGAAAAGGTGGTCATTCCCATGGCCACTTGTTCAACTTGAAGGGATTCAAAGAAATGCCCATTCTCCCCCAATACCGCAGAAAGTAGCCACACAAGCCCCCCCCACAAGCCCCCCCCAACCTTGGCCCTTTGCCCAGGCACTCCTGTTCCCATCCCAGGTAGCTGAACATGGTCTTGGCGTCCGTGCCGATGCCAATGGCCTGCGAATCCCACTCGCCGGCTGATTCGATCCTATGCCAAGCCAGTCCCGGCCATCCCAAAATGCCCCAACTAGGTCCTCCAGTAGAGAAATTAGAATAAGTTGGTACCAACTTTTTTCCGTGGTCTGTTTTAGTAGGGGAACCCCGCTACTGGGGGGACCTAGCCAATACTACCAGGTGGATGACAACCTCCCAGTTGATTTCAATTGGTCTTGTGGCTGTGGCACATATGGCCAACAGGCACCAATGAGGCTGTTGTTGGGGGTAATAGGGTTCCGCTTTTCTCGCTGCGGCGATAGGCAGGGAATGAGAATTTGGAATGAACCTGATCCCCTTAAAGGAAACCATAGGATGGACGGTTTGTAGGGGACATTAACTCCTTCCAACTCATTCCTTGCTGAGCACCAGCAAGTTGTTGGGCTCCTCCTGGGCGACTTCTTGGTTTTTTTGCCCCTCTTTGACCGTCATACAATCTCGGACTCGAGCATAAACGAATGCCCATCTCCGAACCTCGGGCATCAATTTCGTGGCCATGCGAACGGCAATGACCAGTGGACCTTTCTTATGCTCGACCAAAGGGCCAAGCGTTTTTTTCCCAGAAACCTGCCAGTCACAGGCAGAAGTGACCTCTTGAAAAAATAGATGGCCCTGGTGCCAAGAATCCCACCGATCCAACCGCCAATCGCCCACCGACTCAAAAAAGACACACGACTTCGGGTCCAACTGCACCGGCACCGGGGACTCCCAACTCCAAACTAGGGATTCGGACCCACAAAAATGGGCGAAACTGGCGGTCTTCCTCTAGGTTTCCCTTTGAACCAAGGTAAACAGGCCAAGCCTCCAAAAGAACACACACCCAGAGCACAAAACACACAACAGCAGGCGAAAAAAGAAAAACACACACAAATCACAAAGCACAAAGCACGCCCAAGCCTCCAAAAGAACACACACACACACACCCAAGACACAAAACACACAACAGCACAAAAAAAACGCACACAACAGCACACACACACACAAACAACACACAAAACACACAGACACACAGACAAACAGAGAGAGAGAGAGGGAGAGACACGAAAACACAGACACAAACGTCGCTCCCAAGCGCCTTCAGCAGGCGCAGGCCGCTCAGCTTCACCGCGTCCATGGACCGCAGCAGCGGCGTCTTCTCGTCGATGCACTTGCCGAAGTGGGTGACAAAGGCCTGAAGCGGTCTCCTCTAATTTTAACCAACCCCCAGTATATGCCCGTCTGTCCCCTTTTTTGGAGGAGGGGGAACCCCCTACTAAAATAGACTACCTAGATAGCCAAGTTGGGATCGCTTTTGTCAGTCACTGTTGCTGGTTTCTGGTAAAACAGTTTTTAACATTTGCTTTGGTGAATTGTAATATGTCACCAGCCTGAAATAAGGTGGTTGGGGGGCCTCCTCTAATTTTTGACAACCTAGATAGCCAAGTTGCGATCGCTTTTTTCAGTCACTGTTGCGATCGGTTTTTGGGGGAAATATAACAGGAGTCTGCTAAAAAGTGGTCTCCTCTAACACGAGTCGAACAAAAATATGAGACAGAATCAGACAATATAATTTTCTCTGTTCTCCGGATGTGAACCAGGAAAACTAGTGGTGGTTGAAACAAGACCCGGTTTTGGTCTCTTTGAAGAAACCTAAAAGGTTCTTCTTTCAGCAGTGGCGACAACGGCCTCGAGACTCAACAAAGCATCCCCTTAAATGGACTCCCAAACTCCCGGCGCCTGGGAAGTCGACCGGAAATCAAATAGACGCCCGGAGATTCCCAGAAACCAGACCCGGACCTTTTTTTTGGGGGGGGACCCGATACAAGGGAAACTCCCGTGGAATCGCACCACAAACCTCTTGATTTCTGAGCCACCCAGGAAATTTGGTTCAAACCGCTCCCCATAAAAAGTGGTTTTCCTTCACGAGTTCTGTCACGGGGCAAATGAAATTCAATGTGGAGATGACCCTACACCCACTTGTCACTAGGCATAGCTGGCTGAGGGGTGAACCACAGGTGGGTTTTACAAGGGATGAAAAAAGCTTACTGGGGTTAGCAACCTTTTCTGGGGACTTGCTCCCCACTCCAACTCGAGACATTGATAACGGGTTTCCCATATGTCTGAAGCGTCACCAACCACCAAAAGGAATCTCACTCTATTTTGGCCTTTAGGCATGGGGGATCCCTAAGAATTGGTGGTGTCCCGGTGCTGTGCTCTTGACCCCCCATTAGCACGATGCGCCGCTGTGGCTGTAAGGGACCCCTTCCCCAGTCTTCTGGATGCCCAGCTGGGGTTCTTCAACAACTTGTGGTGCACAGTGGGTTCCCTTTGAACCACAACTCAGCTCGAGTAATCCAGGGATGTATTAAACCTCACTTCACTGGCCCAAATCTCATATCGAATTTTCTGATGTTCAGATTGTGCTTAAGCCCAAAAACATGTGCTGAGACTCCAAATATAAAGCTGATTGCCAGCTGAATTCACTCCCTCAGGCCGCCAAACAAAAATGATTCTCACAGCCGCGACATGACTGCCGGACATACTTGGTGTCACTGGTATGGACGTGGGCTTGTCTCTAAATTGGGAAACCCTAACGGGCGGCTCGCTTCTCGTTTCCCGCTAAACCAACCCAAAAAGGGTACCTTTTGCCTCAAACAATTAGGGTGGCTCGTCTTTTTCGAGCGCACAAACCATTTCTGGGTTGGTTCAGCTTTTGAGTTCTTGATTTTCAGTGAAAGTTCCCTTGTGGATGATGGCAAGATGTATGTCTTTTTGGGGGGAGCCCCTTTTGGGTTCCTTGGGGAAGCCAAAAGGACGCCAACCATGTGGGGTCCGACTCATAGTTTTAGCCAAGCCCCGCAGTCCCAAAAGCATTGCCAAAACCAAAAAAATCGTTGTTTCTCAAAATGGTGGTCCCACAAAAAAGGTTGGTGTCCTCTTGGTGTACCTTAAAAACCAAACTTCAAAAGAGGGGGAGAATCCGAGTTTCCGAATCCCATTTTGAGAAACCGAATCATAACCGCTGATGTCCTTTTCATTTACCTTCAAAACCCAACTTCAAACGGGCGCTTTTTCGATTCTTCCGACTTTCGCCGAATTTCACACTTCGAGATGAGCCGAATCCCTTCAAAACGCCGACAAGCCAATTTACCTTCCAACCTTCCCCCCAAAGCGATCCAGCCGATCGACGGCCGTCTGCGATCCATCGATCGCTTGATCCGAGGGGCGCAAGGGATGTAGAGGCACTGGTCCAGCACGAAGGGCGGCGAGGCGCGGTCCCAGGTGGTGAAGGCCGCCGCGGAGTGGGTGACTCGCAGCCCCCCGTTGGGGAAGGAGGATCCGTCCGTCTCACCCTAGCGCTTTTCCGCGATCCGGACGTCAATGGAGGAAAGGTTTTGGTGCTTGAAAGGCGGCAGGTGCTTTTTGTCCACGCACAAGGGGGCAGAAGGCGTTGTGTCACAGAATTTGGGAGGGAGGGGAGGCGGAGGGAGCCAACCAAGGCCGAAGAAAGGGCTTCATAAGAGCAAGCTTGGGCTCCCATACCCCCGCCCCCGTCCCCTTCCCTCCCCCAGGCCCGACTCTTGAGGCTAAGTTTAAATGGGATGGTGACCTGTTCTCTGCTAAAGTATGATTCCTAGGGCCCTTTTGTGCAAGAGGGTCCCCCCCCCCCCCCGTGACTCACGTGTTTCAGGGATATTCGTCGAAACAAAAGGGTTGGAGTATACAGATCTTCCGATGGGGAACACATGATAGCTTGCCCGAAAACTGGCGCAAAAAAGAGAAAAGCGGCACTGGAGGGCAGCCAGGCTTGGGCCAACAAGCATTCGAAGTTGCTGAGTGGGTGGTGTATGTATATACCCGCGAATGTGTAGAAATAGGCGCATATGCATATATATATATATGTATATATATATATATACAAGTTTTGTCAATGTGTGTTAGCAAAAGTGAGCCCAACATGAATGGGGGGGGACAAAGACTTGTAGACCTCTGGTCATAGCTTTGATGATACCCGTGCAGCTCCTTGTTTGTTGGGCATTGCTCACTTGCACAGGTGCAGCACACATCTGACTGAATTGTGTCAATTCAATCCATCTCAGCAAGCCTCAGAATTGCTATTCTTTGGATGCTTCAGCTGAATCAGATTCGCCATGAGGGTGTCTCTTTCTGGCCAGAAAGCCATCAAAGCGGTCCTCTAGGGCTCTTGTCAGCTGGTTGGAGAGCCGTGCTCTTGGAAACCCATGGAACGCGCCTCTTGGCCAATTGTTTTCATCTTGGCCTTCTTTTCCCACGCCAGGGAGGCGTAGAAACATTGAACCCACTCCAAAGTGGCCCAAAAAAGTCCGCATCCGACCCTAAGGTGACACTGAAAGAGGTCTTGCACCAGATCTGGATGCCTTCCGGGACAGGGGGCTTGGGATGGCCGCAAACCCCCAGGATGTCACCTTTGAAAGGTTTTCGGGCGATCCCACCCACATGGATACCCCCCTTTTTTTGGGCTTGAGTATCAAAGCAATGGCAAGGGTAACAGGAGGCATTGGTTGCCGCAAGTTCCCCTGATGGAATTGTAACCCATCTTACCCACGGGTCCCTTCTTTGCCCAAGCAACAAAAATCGTGGCTTGCGCAATTCATATCCACCTCAAAATGTAAACTCTGTTCTCAAGCCAAGGGTAAAATAGAGGTCGGGCTTTGGTTTGGGTATGGGGAAAAAAGGTTGTACCCCTCATCTTCGGACGAAAAACCTGCCTGGAACAGACGCTCGTGCGGCAGGCATGCCTGGCGCTACAAGTTGGTTGAGATCTGCTTGTTTCGACTAGTTTCGTTCCACCCTGGCGCAAACCCCGCTTGTCATACTAAAATTCTTCTGAAAAGCGTTTCGCTCGTACTCGGGGGCCGTTGACGGCCTGGGCTTTTTTGTCTTCTCGAAAGTTCCTTTTGACTCCTTTGACTTCACTCCCGTCTGCATTCAGGCGCATTGGCGCGCTCCTGTCCCAGCTAAATTTCCTGAACATCCGACCAAGAGAACGGCTGGCCTGTTGCCTCTCCTACACTCCTCTCTTCTTGTTGAGGGCCACATATTCTCCGAGAAAACGAGAGAGAGATGCCCATCAAAAGGTCGGCCCATAGACAAGCAGAGCAACCACTCC